TTCTACCAGATTCCATGTTTGTACGATTAATTGACGAAAACCTCTCTAAATCCATCGCCATCGACTCAGCCAACGACACCATCGTCCAACTAGCCACGGACGCATTGGATGGAATATGTCTTCTGCCCATGAAGTCAGTGTTGTCTGATTGGACACTCCATGACGGAATCCTGTTTTATAAAAACAGGGCCTACGTCCCACCCTCTCAACGATTGGATGTCTTGTTCAAACATCATGACCATCCCACCGCCGGGCATCCAGGCCAATTTAAGACGGAAGAGTTAATTAAAAGGGATTATTGGTGGCCAGCCATGGGCACTTACATTCGGAAATACGTCGACAGCTGCACATTGTGCCAGCAAATGAAGGTAGACACCCATCCTACCAACCCTCCATTATGTCCGATCCCCTCCTCCGCCACTCGACCCTTCTCTCAGGTCTCTGTGGACCTCATCACCGACCTCCCTGAATCCAGTGGCTTTGATTCTGTTATGCTCGTGGTCGACCACGGGCTTACGAAGGGGGCAATTATTTCGCCCTGTAACAAGAACATCACCTCCGAAGGAGTAGCAAAGTTGTTCCTTAAAAACGTTTTCAAGAGATTCGGCCTCCATGATAAAGTTATCTCAGACCGAGGACCCCAGTTTATCTCAAAATTCTCCAAAGAACTAGCCAGACTCCTCGGATATCAAATCGCAGCATCCACCACGTATCACCCCCAGACCGATGGACAGACTGAACGCCTTAACCAGGAACTTGAAACCTACCTACGGATTTATTGCAGAAACAACCCTCTAGAATGGTCGCAACACCTTCCCCTTGCCGAATTCGTTCACAATCATAGGAAACACGATGCAAGAAACACGTCGCCTTTCTTCTTGATGATGGGATATGAACCAAGAGGGATTCCCCATGTCCTAGCCGTATCTGACGTCCCCGCGGCAGAAGAAAGACTCAGGAACCTCCAGAAAACTCGTGAAGAAGCAATCGCTTGTCACAATATAGCCATGCAACGAATGGCAGAAAGATCTCGAAAGAAGAAGTACCAACTGTGGAAGATAGGAGATAAGGTATGGCTAAACGCCACCAATCTCCTCACTTCATTACCATCCAGGAAACTTGCGCCCAAGAGGCATGGGCCATTCATAATCACGGCAGTCTTATCCCCCATCACATTCACTCTAAAGCTCCCCAAGCAATGGAAAGTTCATCCCACGTTCCACGCTTCCGAACTATCGTCCTATCGCGAAACAGAGATACATGGACCGAACTATATGGAACCACCGCCCGATATAGTCAACGGTGAAGAAGAATATGAAGTCGAAGCTATTCTTAGCCACAAAGGAACGGGAAAACAAAGACGCTATCTCGTATCTTGGACCAGTTATTCTTCCGGAAGTAATGAATGGATACCCGAAGAGAATTTGCAGAGTTCGAAAGACCTCCTTGCAACGTATAAAGGGAGACACAAATTGAACTGAACAAATCATCCCCTCAGACAAACAAAACATTTCTTCATAACATGACTCCCCCCCAGACACCATCGCCCACTGAATCGAACATCTCCCACGTCTCTCTCAGAGACACGTCCTACAAACAGAACATCATCAACCTCGACGATGACGCCATTGTTGAAACTACTCTATTATCGCTCGCTCACGCAGAAGAGCTTGAAAAACAACTCGCCAAAGAACCTGCAGTCGTAGCAGCCCCCATATTATCCCAGATCCATGTCATACGCGCCACCGCCGCCCTTGAGCTCCGACTCAAAGAAGTCGAAAACGACACCCTCAGACTAGCATGTCAACACATCCAGAGATGCATTCGCAGTCTTGAGATTCAGCTTCTTCCTGCTGCTTTTAGCACTGTCTGCAAAACAGTTATACGAACTGTTGCAGAACGGAACACGACCGAGGTCGGTCACCTGCCAAGCGCTCTTGTTAGCGCTCCCTCCAGCAGCGTACCTGCTGCAGATATACCTAGAGAAGAGCCTCAGCCAGCTGCGCAACCAGCACGGGCTGAAGAAGTATTACCCATCCCCGAGCCCGCCACCATCTACAAACGAAAGACCCGAAAGGGAACCGTCATACACGGAGTCATGAAGACCAGAGCTTCTAAAGGAAAGAAGCGCAAGGTCATTGACCTCACCAAATCCCCCGACATCATCACAGTAAAGCAGCCGCAGTTTTCCCCAGACAACTTCGTATGTCGCGTCTGTAAGAAGCTTGGGCATCGCCACAAGAACTGCCCCAAATACTACTGTCGTATATGCCAGGCTCACGCACCTGGTCACTTCTCCATCTACTGCCCCTATGCTCCAAAGAAGGAGCAATTTCCATTGGTTTATACCGACGACGGCTTTTACGACGCCTTGGCAACATGGGAAGCCAGGAAAGATGAAGAACTCTTAGCTGAGTTGGACAGAGCAAACGCCGCATATAACGCTGCTCATCGTGACGAGGAATTAGAGTTCCAGAACGCCGATGCAGACGTCATCTACTACGCTCACATGGACGAGTACGTCAACCAGGACGATTAATGTCGAAGTCGGTGACTTTGACCATAATAACGGGGTAATGTTACGATAACATTTACTCCTATCATTTCATTTTTGTGTTACATACTAAATGGGCTGTCCGTACCTTTCTCTTATCTGCACGGGCCGTCTGCCCTATCTCTTATCTCTTATCCAAGCGGGCTGTCTGCCTTATCTTCCTTATCTTGATAACGCATTTACAAGCTCCGCTTGAACATTTCCTATATAGACTGTACTATGCACGATTGTATTCCTTACTTTAATCTACTGGGTTTTACCTGGAACATTCCTTCAACAAGGTCTCCAACCTTGTTGTCTAAGAACTACGATTCTAAGAGAGTCAGCACCACTCGTCTTAGCCTAGACCATTGATCCTCTCATTCGAGAGAAGACCCTCGTCTATCAGGCTCATCGCCGATTGCCCATTCGGACTTTGATAGCTCGACCAATCCCAGTCGTAACACGAACCGGCTCATGGAAGGTCATTGACCAAATCTTCCATGAACCGGGGCAACCGCGTGCTGGCTAATGAGTCAATCGTTAGTAATCCCATTCCACTGGAAGCAGGGAGGGACATACCTAAGAGACTGTGCAAGGCCATTGAACCAGCAGAGACTGTGCGCCCTGAAACGTCAGCAGAGTTTGCATGGCGGGTGAGGGGTCATTTCATCCTGAAAGGCCCAGTCAAACAAAAGGAGGGGGGGAGCTCCTAAAGAAGCATAACCCCCCAGAAACCGACCAAACAGCGGAACCCCAGAGAACCTGGACCAGCGAAGAACTGGAGAATCTGCAGGAAGGGTTAACCGAGCCTGAATACCAGCCAGCCAGAATACCAATCACTTACCCTGAAAAGGAGGCAGTCTTGTCTGAGATTAAGGGAAGATATGAGGAGGATCCTTTTTTCAAAACAATACTAGATGCACCTGAGTTTTATAAGAACTTTGAGCTCCAAGATGGGTACCTGAAGCTGAAACTACAGGACAGGGTGCTGTTATGCATCCCGGATATCCTGGTAGATGGAAGGAAGTTGTGTGAGATTCTAATAGATCAAGCACACTCCTTGTTAGCTCACCTTGGCGCAAGAAAGACAATGTCTTACCTAAGAGAGTACGTCTGGTGGAAGACGCTTGTGCCAGATGTGCAGGCTTTCTGCGCGTCATGTAAGACCTGTCAGAATAGTAAGCCATCTAATCAAAAGCCCTATGGGCTGTTGCACTCACCAAGGGTTCCATCCAAGCCCTGGGAGGCCGTTGGAGTAGACTTCATTGGACCGTTGCCCTTATCGACTAACAGGGATGGAGAGTTCGACAGTATCACCATCGTCATAGACCTGTTCTCTGGAATGGTGCACCTGGTGCCAAGCCGGACGAACTATAACACTAAGGAGGTCGCTGAACTAATGTTTGCCGAGGTATACAAACATCACGGCTTACCGTCGTCTATCATCAGTGACCGAGACATCCTGTTCACAAGTGGGTTTTGGACCCAGTTGAATCAGTTAATAGGCATTAAACAAAAAATGTCAAGTGCTTACCATCCAGAGACAGATGGCTTGACAGAGCAAGCGAATCATATGATTGGGCAGATGATACGGAGCACCATAACCCCCAGTCAAACAGACTGGGTGGGGAGGCTGCTGGCCATCGAGTTCGCCATCAACTTAGCGCACAATGAGATGACTATGTACTCACCGTTCTTCATCAATTCCAGGCGGCTGCCCCGTCCAATGATATGGGAAAGTCCTGAAGCAACAGAGTACCCTGGTGTCAGAGTATATGTGCAGAAGATGAAGGCCACAATACTCACCACACATGATGTGATCCTGGCTGCTTGCATAAAGCAGATGAAAGAGGCAAATAAGCATCGAAGGGCTTGTCCCCTCGTAGAAGGGGACTTAGTCTATATTTTGTCCAAAAATATCAGCTTTCCGAAAGGACTAGTAAGAAAGTTCATACCTAAGTATGTGGGTCCCTACCGGATCATCAAGGATTATAAGAATAATTCGTATAAAGTGGACTTACTGGACAGGTTGAAACAATGAGGGGTGCACCCCATGTTTCATTCGTCATACTTACACATCCACGTGCCCAGTGATGACCAGAGGTTTCCAGGAAGACTCGAGATGCAAGTTGCTGAGTTTGACGATCGTGTGGATTGAGAATGGGCTGTTGACAAGGTACTATCGCATAAAGGTACCAAAACAGATGTGGACTTCAAAGTACTTTGGAAGTCCGGAGATAGGACCTGGCTGTCCTACCACCAAGTGGAACATCTCGACGCCCTGAAGGACTATTTTACTCTGGTTGGTGTTGAGACAATCGGTGAGCTGGTGGATGGCGACAGGGAGGCACCAACTGATGCTCCCCAGGTGTTTCTAGGACACCTATGTCCCACTTCCTTTCCTACAAGTACCCCACCATTCCCTCATTCCTCAACATCACTGTCACTCAACCCTCATTGCACCATGCACAACCCCACATTCTGCAACTTCCTTCCTGCAGGGCCAGGGTTGTACACATTCTCGGACATGCATGTCCCTCCTCGTCAGTATACCATCACATGTAAACAGGTCAAATCCTTCGTCATGTATGATGCACTGTTGCACTCAGGCAAGGATAGCAGCCAACACTCCATTCCTCTCGGTTACGAGGAATTTGCCTTCACTTTCAATTTCAACAAGCCTGACATCCTCGTTAAGTTCACTACGGCTGCCACAGACGGTTCTATCAAAGTTAATGGACCCACCGTAACTGCTTCATTCCTTGTCGGCAATGACGAGGAACCTGCCGCTATGCTCATCCCAGACCAGCCTGTCCAGCCTGTGGCTGAGACTCCCTGTGACCCTGATGGAGGCTGCTGGTTGGACAAATGCAAGGCAGAGCTAATCGACGATCCCCTGTGGGACAACCTTGAATGTTCCCACCACCAGAACTCCTGCCGAGATGAAGCCATCAAGGCTCACAAGGACAAGAGGCGGAGGTTCAAAGGCCCTGCTCCCCCTGCCGTACCTGCGCCTAACATTCCCCATCCCCCTACCAATACTCGTGACACTGGGGCTGGTAGCTCTAGTCGGGCTGTTGCCTTGCCCACCGTCCGGGACGTTGACGTGCACATGGAAGGTATGAAAGGCACGAACAATCGCGAAGGAGTTGAGGGGCCCACCATTGCTGAAAAGAAGGGCAAGGGACGCAAGAAGTAAGGGGTCTGAAGACCCCTGAAGGGGGGTATGTGGCATCTACATGGCCACTCAGCTTGAACCCCAACTATACCATGTGATTCTCGTACTTATCGTTTATTTTCTTTGACATTATCCTACAGTCTGACGCTCTGCATCTCCCTACCCTACGCCCTTGTTATTTCACGTGTTACATTACAGAAAAGCTATAAAAGACCCAGTAGTTAGACTAGTTACGTTTGGCGTTCTTGCAACTAAGCTATTACCTGGTGACATTGCTTGATCGTCTTAAAACTCGTTTCCATGTGCCTTCAACTCAAGTGTTACCACTTCAAGCTGTCATCACACTAGCACTACTAGTGCTTCTAACACAATTGAATCATGATACAAAAACTATCAGTTTGAAATAGCATGGTAGAAATCTTTGTCAATGTATTTGTTTAGAAAGAATGTCTTAGCAAAGTGAGAACTATTTTGTGCTGTTAGATAGGAATCAGCAATATGGCCAACGTGGAAGATAATGTGAGCAAGATAATGAAGTTGATCTAGTGGGAGAATATCACTGAAGGAAGTCCCTGCTGATCACATTGTATGGTTCAAAACATGCATCTACATTGTACATTCCAGTAAGTTTCCATGTTGCTGGGGTATGAAATCTAGGCATTGAACATAAGTAAGAAAATATGAGACCCAAGGGGCACTACCACTTTTTCCTCATGAAGGAAGTCGTTGCATAATGAGGTACACCTTAATAATAGCATGGCCTGCAAGTAGCTCAGACATCAGACTCAGACATAATATATCTGGAAAATGTATCTTTAAGCTTGCTAGTTGGTTATTGTTCACATCTGGTATCATCAACAGTGAAAATAACAGCATTATAGTGGCTATACTTCTAAGTTGCACTTGAAGGAGATGCATTGACCATGAAAGTAGGGGGAGTGATTGATGGGTTATGGTATGATGCCTGCTTCACATGTACTTTGAACCAGACCATGAGATCCTCAAATGGAAGAGGTGCATTGGTTAGTGCTCAGTGATATTTCCCAAGTTGCTTTTTGGCTCCCAGTGAGCGCTTTGAGTCATATTTCGGTGTCTGACCCTGTGCCTAGGTAGTCGCCAAATGCCTCCACTTTGTTGGTGCTGTCTGTGATAGATTGTTGTCTCATGGCCCGGTTGAATGACTTTAGAAAGTCTGCTGGGTTCTCTGACCTGCATCCGTCTCCATGAAAAATCTGTGGTGTCTCTGTTGGCATTATAGTCTTGAGTTGTGCTAGTGCAAAGAAGGCGTCAAGGTTATAGTTGGGGATTGTCGAGGCAAGGGTAAGTAGTTTTGTTTTCGTACTGCATAGTAATGGTTCTGTGTAGAGCAGGGGTAGTTCGAAGTCTAGGTCTGGGGCATTGAGTTCTGGGAAGGGGATTATACTGTGCTCTTCAATACTGCTGAGAGAGCTAAGTGATGAACTGCAAGAGTGTTCCTCTGGCATGTCAAGCAGGGACGAGACTTCAGAGGTTGCTGTTGATGATGCTGTGTTTGCTTTCCACACACTTGCTTTCTTTGAATCCTTTTCTGTAGTCGCTTGTCTGTCGGATTTTCTAGTCCTCAAACGGTCCATCAGTTTCTAATCACAAACCACATAAAATTACAGGCAGATACAGCCTTTTTGTTCCTTTTGCAAGTGTCTTTTATGGACATCTGCCATCTAACTTAGCCTTCTAGGCATAATGCGATGTAGAAACAACAATACTGAGAGGAACTAATGATGATGCTCCTGACTGTATCTAAAATGTTGTGGTCTTTGCACTGCCTAGTCTGCTATACTTGCCTGACAAGTGCGTTTGACCCAGGGGTCTGCAGTCTGGGAATAGTCTTGGGGGTAAGTGAGTGATGTGGGGTCAATAGTCCAAGCACGGGAAACAATGTCCGAAGGTATATTTACGATGTCCGATGCAAAAGCGTCGGGTTTGTCGGGTCGGGTAGTCGGATTCGGGTCAGGTATGCGGAAACTAATAGTGACACGTTATGCGAGCGTCGGAAAAGCGAGCGGTATGCGTGATGACAACAATGACTGATACGGATAATGAAAGAGCGATGATATTCGCAATATCAACTAAGAACTACGAAATATCGGGTTTGACCACTAAGCGTCAGGGAACTGCTCCCCTCTACTTGGATAATGAATAATGCTCGAGGTCAGTCCAATATATATGTAAGTACGTAGAAATGCGGAACCCATAGGCGAAGGTAGCGGCCGATGATTTCGGATCCGAAGTACATGTAAATAAACATGAGGCGCTGCGGACTATGGGAAAACATGTAATAGCGCTTGCTACGACGTGAGTAATGTGTGAAATAATGAACTACGCACCTAGTGGGGCTAGCAAGACAGGACAAGACACAGGAAGGACGAGTGCGCGGGAATTTGCATCGGCCGATGCGGCCTAAACGTCAGGTTGGCGGGTTAGCGTCGGATAACATTGGGAAGTGATTAGCATGTGACGGGTATTTGACGTGTACTGTGAAATAGCTCGATACGAGCCCAGCGCCAGCTCGTGTCCTACAGTGACGTAAACACGGGGGTTGCTGCTTGACGTGTGTGTGATATTGAACACATTTTTGCCGACGCTTCAGGCTGGAGCCGAGATATGCTATCTTAGGTTTCTTAGGGCTAGGCTGAAGGCTAAGGGTTGTTGCAAGCGCTTAGGACAATGGAATTCAGCAAGTTTGAATAATGCTCTGTTCACCATGTTGGAGCAGGAGAAAGGATCTGAGCCCAAGGTCTAGCTGAGAGAAGCAGATGATGATGATGTACTCTACTGATGTGCTGGAACTTGTACTACTTGCTGACTAAGCTATGGAAAGAGCCAATGGTGCTTTGGGTGTGTGGCTCTTGTCCTTGGAACCCCTGGTCCAGTGTGTTTTGTGTTTGTATTCAGCAGATTACAGGGAATAGTGATAGTCAATGTTGGGAAAGTGAGTGGTATGCAGATTATCGATAATGATGGGTATTTCAGATAGAAAGAGCGGTAATATTCACAATATCAACTAAGAACTACAAAATATTGGGTTTAACCACAAAGCACCAGGAAATGGCTCCCTACTACTTGGATGATGAATGATGCTCAAAGTCAGTCTAATATATATATAAGTACATAGAAATCCAGAACCCATAGGCGAAAGTAGTGGTGGAATATTTCAGGTCCAAAGTACATGTAAACAAACACAAGGTGCTGCAGACAATGGGAAAACATATAATAGTACTTGCTGCAACATGAGTAATGTGCGAAATAATCAACTACACTGTACCTAGTGGGGCTAGTAAGACAGGACAGGACATGGAGAGGACAAGTGCACGGGAAAACATCGGGTTGCATCAGATTACATTAAGAAGTGATCATTGTGTGATGGGCATTTGATGTGAATCATGAAATAACTGAATATGAGCCTAGCACGAGCTCAAGTGCTAAATCATTATAAAAGAAAGATATGGGCTGGGCATGTACAGAGGAGCAGTATGTTCAGCCCAAGGGCTTCTAATGAGGCCAGAGCTCAGAAGGAAAGTGAAAGTGATGCAAATACAGCAAATAGTAATTCCTGGACAGCAGGTAGGAAGTAGGGAATCTAATACCAGGAGTTTTTGACAAAACTACAGCCTGCAACTACCTATTGGAGGCATCAAGCATACTGGGACATCAAAACAGTGAGTATTTGGTAGAAACTGTGTGTGGGGTTTGGAGTACAGGTGTCAGGGTACTAGGTGAAGTAAAACATGATTAGGTAAGTGGTAAAAGTGCAAACCTATTGTGAGGAAAATGACTATAAATAAAGATGTAACAAAATAGGCCAATATGTGCTCAGCCAGAGGCTGAGTGCTACACCAGATCATCTCATGTACTCATATTCTAATAGAAGACCTGCTTCATGACATCTTATCTCTGACTCAGATAGATTCATAGATACAGACTCCTCCTGAACCTTATAGAATAGACCTATATAGATTAGACAGAATATACCCATCACCATGAGGCCACCCTTAGCCAGCCATGATCCAACAGGCACTATTTTATCTGTGTAAGTCCATCTCTGAAAAACCTCATCTCATTGTATACTAGGATCGTATACAATAGCTTTGTGATTTTCATACATCTCTTGAAGGCTAGCATCATTGAAGGTATTAAAGATAACACCTCTAACCTACATACAACTAAGGGTTATTCAAATAATCATAATAAATTACTTATACATTTACTAGTTTCAACACTAATCATTTGTACAATGTTACACTTGCAGCAAGCATATACTTTAGGACAGAATGTCATACATTGTAGATGCAAATCATTATGAGGGTGTATATAGTAAGGGTCATCTGCTTAATCCTCCTTGACCTTGGGATAAAAGAATTGATACAAAACTAATATGTAAATATTTACTTACATTAAGGGAAAGACAGTCATTCGGTTAGTGGCTTCAATGAATGCTATACAGACTCGTGGCATAGGATTTCAAGACCTCTGAACAACATCATCTACACAGTCCTAGATGAGCACATCCTTAGAGCTGCTACCCAATATCATTTTCCACTGTGACTACCTCAATAATACTTCCCTTTCAGTCAGACAGGATTGACACCTCACACACTTCCTCATTCGATCTTGGGCCAAAAAATGGACCTTGGCATCCCATTTGGTGGCATGGTACAGAGACATACAAACGTAGTACAAAGGACAAGCCTTTGTGAGAGGAGGAGACTTGGTCACATTGACTGACGAACATTGGCAAATAGGTAGAGTAAGCAAGCACGTGAAGAGGAAGCAAAAGCAAGATGAAACATATGACGCGACAGGACTGAATAAGCAAACATGCTAACTTCAATGGCGACAAACTTGCAGAATGAGATGAATTGGGATGGTGGACCAGCATGGGACAATGAAGATTATGAGTGCAAGAATTAGGATAAGACAAACTAGGATGGCGGACCAGCGCTGGATGATGAGTGTAAGGGGGAATGAGACGGACCAGCGTCATGGGGGTGGAATAGAAGGGGCAAAGGTAGAGGGTTCTGGAGACCAGCACTGGACAATGAGTGCAAGGGTAAAAGAGGAAGGTTAGGGGGTTCCGGAGTCGGTGTCTGGAAATGTTGTGACAAGCTTTCCTAGTAGTATTCCTTAAGATTAGCTTCATGATCAGTACTAATAAGTGAAACACACTTACTAATACATATTAATACCTACACATATATTTGAAGGAGGCTCTTCGATGTCTCCAAGAAGCCTTGAGAACAGTTAGCCAAATAGTGAATGTCGGAAGTGAATATTTCTGCAAGAGAAAAAAGCTACTGAGTACACAAAGATTGCAGCACCAAATAGTGTGGCTAGCACCCCTACAGGTAAATTGAATAGTGCGGGAACTATTATGGAATTGGAAGTATGTTCAGTGCTATTGTTGCAGAACTTACCTGTCAAAGTTTCTAGATTTGGCCAACTGATACAAAGCATGTAACCCTAAGCACCCATGAAACCAGCACACAGGTGGTCAAACATCCTTCCTGCCTGCATGAACCTTTTGGTTCTGCGGCCTCCGCTAAGGAAAATAGCCAGGGTCCATGAAAAGGCCATCCAACCTATGAGTGTCTCTATAATGAAACGAGGGATGGATCTGTAAATTGAAACAATGGTAATAAGCTCAGCTATCAGTATTAGGAGTATTATGCTCTTGGCAAAGGTAACTGTCCTGCAGTATCTGGGTATGATGAAGGATTAAATTTGCGGGACTACTGATAGGACTCAAGCTTAAGTAGGCAGGTTGAACTGAAACTTTGATGTCATAACATACTATTTATGGCAATTGTCATACAACAGCTACCCTAGAACTTTAGTATCCCTCCCAAATGCCTTATACTGTATATATGTTAAAAATACTCTGGATGTAATAGTCTCTTTAATGATATAGCACAACTGAGTAGACTGGAACTTAGTAAGGTCAAATTTTGTCTCAGAGACAATCTCAAATAAGATTTTGTAATAAAGCTTGGCAGGATCAAAGCCAATAAACTTAATAAACTAGTAACTTTAAATTATTTTAGTGACATATTATTAGATAAAAAATTTCCTTGTGCCTATGCTTCCCAAGAGTAGTATGAAGTCAGGTGTTACATGTAGCAATAAATGCTGCCTTATTTCAAAGAAAACTAATACATGAAGATTGACTGGTAGTAAGAATGACTCTATCTTGCTGATTAATATTATTGAGCCATTACATAACCAACTTACCAAGAAACTGCCCACCAGTATTTTTCAGGGACTTGGGCTAGAGCCAGTTTGTTAAGACCATGCACAAAGGGTAGGACTGATTCCAAGGGGCTTGGCTTGAGCTCGTGCGCTGCGCCCCTTACCCGAGTATGTGCCCTTAATTTCAGAATGATGTCCGAAGGACGTCTGAAGCGCGGGAAAGTTCCGGAGGAACTACCGGAAATTACGATGAGGTTTTGTCCTGATATGGATACGTGTAATGGCTACTTAGGACAAGTCCTAAGTAGAAGCAAACAGAGGAAAGGCTGCAAGGACAAAGTCCGAAGCAGAATAGGTCTGGAGGACCGCGGGAAAGTTTTGGATGAACGTCCGGAAACTTCGGAGGAGCGGATGAGCGGATGAGCGGGGATCGGATAAGTGGAGCTCTGGCCTAGGGAATTTCTCCCTAGGCCCAAGATGAATATTGACTAAGTCGATAGACTAGAACTGATATGAGGACTTAGAGTGAGATCTAGTGTGAGGACTAATATGATATTCAGACTGAGGAACTACAGGACATATACAAGAGTTTATATACTAAGGAAATAACGGAAAGATCAGTAAGCAAGCGTCCGAGGCTATGTATGAAGCATAAGCAAAGTTATCAAGCGCGAGTCGGAAATGAAGCATAGGTTAACGGATCAGTAAGCATACTGGTAGTAAGTATAAGCGAGATACCGAGGACAAGGAATAACGAATAGAGGAATAGGCTGTGTTAACGTTATATGCACAGGAATTGAATTAGGAAGCTTATCGTATATCTGATCGGACCGGATGTCCGGACATGAAGCGTGGATATACGGGATATGATATTAGGGCAATAGGACAAAGGATGAATGATGCAGGCTAGCTGCGGAGGTATGGAGGTGTGATGTACGGAGGTAAAGGGATCTGGACATGGATGCGCGGATGTGGATGTGCAGAGGTGCAGGGATCCGGATGGGTAGAGGACTGGAGACATGGATAGGGCGTCCGAAGGTCCGGATGAGGCGTGGGAATATTGTTGGATGTAGGTCTGGAATACGGGATATGACAGTAAGCAAGCGTCCGAGGCTATGTATGAAGCATAAGCAAAGTTATCAAGCGCGAGTCGGAAATGAAGCATAGGTTAACAGATCAGTAAGCATACTGGTAGTAAGTATAACCGAGATACCGAGGACAAGGAATATTGAATAGAGGAATAGGCTGTGTTAACATTATATGCACAGGAATGAATTAGGAAGCTTATCATATATCAGATCAGATCAGATCGGACCAGACCGGACGTCCGGATGAGACATGTGGATATATGGGATATGACATTAGGGTGATGGGACAAAGGATGACTGATGCAGGCTAGCTGAGGTATGGAGGTAAAGGGATGTGGATGTGGATGTGGATGTGGATGTGCAGGGGTGCAGGGATCCGGATGGATAGAGGACTGGAGACATGGATAGGGTGTCCGAAGGTCCGGATGAGGCGTGGGAATATTGTCGGATGTAGGTCCGGAATACGGGATATGACATGTATACACTGATGGAACATCGCACAGCTGCAATATTTCCAAATTTGAAGTCAATATCAAATTCAAATGGAATGATATCCACGACGCATTCTGTAAATATCCTGGAGTTGATCAGTCAGTTGTGTCACAAACCGATAAGGGCTTTGATACATTGGGCCAAATAACCAGCTATGCTGTTGCTCAGCTTGGTGCTCAATATCGTAACCATGTATTCTCTATCCTCATTATCAGCAATCGTGCTCGCATCATCAGATGGGATAGGGAGGGAGCTATCATCACCAACACCTTCGACTACTACTACAAGTTACACCTGACCAATTTCTTCTATCATTTTGCACAAGCATCGCATGCCCTGTATGGCATTGACACTTCTGTAACTCCTGCTAGCAATGAAGATGCTGCCCTCACAAGGATGGTGTTAAAGCTCACTACTACCATGCGCATGTTGAAAGTTGCAGTCCCTCAGGATCCTGCCATTGAGGACCCTGACTGGTTGACATTGATCATCCCCCAACCTGTTGCAAAAGGTTTTCCGCTTGTTGGCTGCTGGACTCGCACCTGTCCTGTGTTTGATAATCTCAACAACAGGGTTGTGATGTTCAAGGATTCTTGGTGCGTGTCATTAAAGGATGTTCTACCAGAAGGTGAGACTTACAAATTATTGAAGTCGCATAATGTTCGCAATGTCGCAACATGCATCACATTTCATGATGTGATCCATGCTACCCCTGAGTAAAACACCCAGATTGTCAAGTTTGGGAGCACTGAATGGGCTTGCCCCAACAAGGCTGTCACTCCGCACATTCTTCACTGCCTAGTTCTCAATCTTATAGGCAAGCAATTGACTGATTTTGAGAGTTCTCATGAACTTGTCCAGTCTGTCTGCAATGCATTACTTGGTATGTATTTACTTCGCACATATTACCTGATGTCCATACTCATTATCCACGCAGCCTACCAGGATGCATATAAAGATGCAAAAATATTACATTGAGATCTCAGTGTCAGAAATATCATTATCTACTGAGGGAGGGGCTTTCTCATCAATTGGGACTTAGCAAAGTTACTTACCATTCAGGGTCCTCGACAAACCACCCGCATGGTATGTTCATTTTCCAAACTCATATATTGAATTGATTCTCCCATCACCAAGGGAACCTGGCAGTTCATGTCTGCTCACCTCATTAAAAATAGTTTTGCTGTCCATGCTGTTGAGGATGACCTCGAGTCCAATCTGTATGTTGTTCTGTGGATGGCCTTGAAGTCCAGGGAGAGCTACATGAGTGTCATTGACCGGATGCAATTCATTTTGCAGATCTTCAATGCTGATCCGCTGGTGGGGACCGGAGGATCTGCGAAATTGGATTGGCTTTTTGCTAGAACCTACTTTCCGCATGATATATTCGTCGGCTGCAAACCGCTTGACGATCTCATTGTTGAACTAGCCCAGTTCTTCTCACATTGGTACTCCTCAGTTTCCCCTGAGGCACAGGAGTCACTTGTGCAATTGCAGCTCTCATTGTAGGAAGTTCTGGATGAAGCCATTGTAGCACTCGAGTTCGCACTAGGCACATATTCAGCTATTTTCCAATACACATTGCACATGAATCACTTCCCAATATTATCCGACACTTACCTGCTCAATCAAATGTTTATCCGCTAACCCGACACTAGTCCGACACTAATCCGACGGACCCGACGTTTCCCACGCATCGGACCCAATATTTTCCCACACACTTGTCCTCCCTATGTCCTGTCCTGTTGTATCTATCCCCACTAGGTGCGCAGTTATTCATTTTCACGTCGCTAACAATGTAGACCACGTTATTACATGTCCGCAGTACCACATGTCTTATTACATAGGACATCAGACCTGAAAATTACCACTACTACTTTCGCCTATAGCACTCCAAAGTTCTACATAAACACTATATATTTCGCATGCCTCCTACTTACTTATTTACCTTTCTACCTCCAAGTAGGAGGAGGTCATTAGATATTCATAGTTCTTCATTGAATTCCGCAAATATCATCCTTTCCTTATCCGAAACACTCCAAAAACATGGACAGTAACCCGCCATTCACTATCCTCAACATTCGTTACATTCCTGACACAAATCCGACATTAATCCGACGTAACCCGATGAAACCCGCTAATCCGAAAACATCGGACCCGACATTTTTACCTTCGGACTTTGTTTCCCGCGCTTCAGGCTATCTTCCTTTTCATATAGCTAATTATTCTAATAGCTTACAGCGAACCTCTTGGGTCAAACACACTTGTCTTGCAAGTATAGCAGACTAGGCTGTGTTAGACCACAACTTTTTATATTGCTAGGTACTTACTTCGTGTAGTGTCCAGCAATTGTTGTCTTGTTACACCGTGTCTGTGCGCACGGCTATGCAGCAAAAGATGATAGATGTTGCACAATGCTGCCTGTTGGAGTCTTCTGCTTACCAGAAGGAGATAGGTATGCAGATCCTGCACTCACACGAGGTCGTCATTGATATCCACGACAAGCACCTTGGCTCATCCAGATGGCCTGACAAAGATGCGGCCATACTGCAAAAAATGCATAACAAGCAAAGCAGACATCATTTATACACCAAGTCACACCATCTGGCAAGAAACATAGGCTGGATCCTGAAGATGACATTGAGATCCTCAGTTTGGTGGCTGGCCTAGATGACCTTGTGTTCTTCCATCAATGATCTCTTCTAGTACTTTGCAAGCCTGTATTCATCTTACACTTACACTTACAATATGTATTATCTTCGTATACAAGCATTGTATAAGTCAACTCGATCTGGTGCCTCCCCAGTGCGCTGGCCATGACAAGCTACTTGGTTGGTACTCAAAAAACAAATATTGTACTCATCACACATCAACCTCAAAGACGCAAACTAGGAACTATCAAGTATATTTTTGGGACTGAGCATGAAGTGTCTGTTGTGTGCATGTCCCTCTCACTATTCACATAGGTACTCTAACAGTGCTTTTGCGCAGGTTCACCAGGAATGGTTATCTAAGCCGGCCAAGGCACGAGGCCGGCCTAGAATTAGTCTGTGTGCGAATAAGCGATGTGGTGCAGCACTTTTTGCTTCTCACCACCATCGCAGTACTCTCTCGTCCTAAGTACTAGGCACTTACCATCCTCTTTTGCATCATTCAGAGATCACATAATGGTCCTCAAGAACCCACATGAGGCCATAAGGCCAGATTTTACTGAAAGCATCAACCAGCTCGCCAACAATTAGTATTGGATGGACTGACTGAAGAACAGGCCACTCACTCACTCGCATCCCTTTGGACTTTGACCAACAACACCAACAAGGCAGTTACAAACGAAAGACAAGAGCGTTTGCAGGAGCTACGTCAACGAGAAGAAGATAAGGAAGAGCAGCGTAACCAAGCCCTTCAGGACGAGGAAGAAGCAGCTTGCTTAGAAGAACGAAAGAAAATAAGCATAAGTATGCACCTTTCTCTCGAGGAAAAGTTCCCTCAGAACCAACTATTCTTCCAGCCCTATACACCACGAGGAAAATTAAAGCAGGAGACTATTGCAAACTGCATGATTTGACCAATCAAGGGCTAGATGACGCCAACAAAAGTGCCCAAATCTCAGAACCAGACGCTCTAGTCATGCTCCCTGCCACAGATAAAATCCATTCCTAGGTTCCTGCAGATGCAGTAAAAGACCCCAAGGTGTCCCCAGTTACCAAAGACGAGCACCTCACCTGGGAAGAATTCAACGAGGCAGCAGCACATATCATCAATTACATGAGAGCTCATGACTGGCCAGTTGAACAAGTCAGCATGTTCATCCAATATTGGTCAGCACTGCAACAGCATCGTTGGAGGCACATTCCGGACCCTCTAAAGCAGCATGCACTGCTACTGTATCAGTCGCAATAGCGCCACAGGTGGCATCTAGCAATCAGCACAGGACAAACATGGAGTCTCGAGGAGATCAATCAAGATCTCCTACTGGAAGCACACAAAGAGCTGTTCAATGAGCAATGCGAGAAACAAACAGTGATGGCAATTCAGGTCAGTACCAAAGTATCATTCGTTTCTAATCTACAAACACTGATTATTCCAACACTACACAAACACCTGCCTTTGTGCTATGACATTGCCTGGTGAAATCGCTCACTTTGTTATCATACGTCGGCCATCACGTGCCGATGACCCCCTGTTCGATGTTGTTGAACAATCACATTCGTCAAAACACATCCTACTCTACTCCCGGCCATTATGTGCCACCCAATGGTCAATCACGACCTCCACACCATCGGCCATCACGTGCCATCTAATGGTCAATCACGACCTTTATACCATCAGCCATCACGTGCCACCCCCCCCTCGATGGTCAATCACTACTTTCATACTCCCTCTTTGACTCTGCCGTTGAAGGTACAACAATTCAGAGAGTGAGTCTGAACAATGTTGGGTCTTGCAGAACCTAGCTGCTATTCGACCCTAAAGGGTTTCTGGACCAGGCTCAAGGCTCAGAGGAGAGGAAATGTCATAAAAACTGCTTAAGACTCAGACTCATACTGGTAACTGGTGAAAAGGTAACTTCCTTATGTAAGCTACAAAAGTGCCAACATAAGGTAAGGTAAAAACAGTCTCTACAAGCCCAGCCAGAAATGAATCCCTACATCTCATGGGAACTTTGAATCATGACTGTCCCCAGTCATCTACCTATGCAAACCAAAGCTAAGCTAAACTAAGAAAACTACTAACCTGGGGGTCCTCAAACACCTTTTGTTTCCTTGACGCGTATGCCAGGTAAACTGCGCCAGTGAGTGAGGGTCAGGGCAATCCAATAAAACGATGACCCCAGCACCTGTTTTCCCTGACATCTCTTGTGCCAGGCGAACCGCATCAGTACTGGGGGACTGGTAAAACGATAAAAACGATAAAATGCGAAGTGGTGGTTGCGCGGATGACGACGGGAAGTAGACGGATAGAAAGAGGCGAATGAGGGCTTCGAAATGAGTATAGGGTCGACTAGGTTTGGTGAAGAACTGAGGGAGATATGAAGGAAATGGTGAAAACATGCGAAAATAGCGAAAACGGCGAGTAGCGAGGGCGCAGGTGGGCGTATCTGGAAGCGGAGTGGATGGATGGAACGCGGCGGTGAATGCGGTCAGAACGCGCCTAAGGCGATGGGCGCGCGATCACAGGGCGACGAGATATAAAGAAAACACAAAAATTGGGGTGAAACAAATGGGGGGAACGCGAAAATGCGGATAGCGAGCGAACAGCTGAGCGTGCGAAGGCGCGGATATGCGCGAATGAAAGCCATGAACGAGGGCTTCAAAACGGGTATAGGGTCTATGGGGTTCCGATGCGAAATGGGCTGGTGAAAGTGCGAAAATGTGTGGAGGTGCAAGAGGGAGGAGGAGGAAGGGGTATGGTGCAGGGCAACAAGGGCTGGTCCTATCAAAAAGCGGCTTGGGGCAATGGACAGAGCCACTGAGGGATGGTAAATGACCAAAAGAGCTAGATGAGACAGGCCTTAGAGCACCCAGAAAACCCTTATCTCTCCTCAACTTCTCAAAAACACCAAAAACTCGATAACTCCACAACTACTGCTCCAAATTCGATGAACCAGGGCTCAAAATGACCGGACGGACGTGGGGAATACGACCCTAAGTTTGCGAGAGATCCGCTCGAAAACCGCGTGAGAAAAACGCTTATCAATGTGCTGGGGAGGAGGAGAAGATGCTGAAAACTTGGGAATATGGGAGAAGCTGGTAATGAATGACTGTGGTAGGATAATAGGCGAATTTGGGGGATGATTGGTGAGCTTAGAGAGCCTAGAAACACAAGAAACCCTCGCGGTGGGCTCCAGTTGAAGGTACAACAATTCAGAGAGTGAGTCTGAACAATGTTGGGTCTTGCAGAACCTAGCTGCTATTCGACCCTAAAGGGTTTCTGGACCAGGCTCAAGGCTCAGAGGAGAGGAAATGTCATAAAAACTGCTTAAGACTCAGACTCATACTGGTAACTGGTGAAAAGGTAACTTCCTTATGTAAGCTACAAAAGTGCCAACATAAGGTAAGGTAAAAACAGTCTCTACAAGCCCAGCCAGAAATGAATCCCTACACCGTGACCAACACACTGTCAATATCCATGGCTATAGCAAGCCACAGCAGCCTATGCGGCAAACAACTACGAGCCGCCGTGCCAGCAACAGCCTGGTGCGGCACCTCAGAAACGCTCTTGGCCAGCAGCAGAGGAGGTATCAGGGAGTAATAAGAAGGTACACACCACTCATGCTCCTCCTCCCTTGGGCCCCCTCCCATGTTGTGCAGTGTGCCTTGGATGCAACCCCCACTGAACTATCAACTGCGCCGCCACCCAAACCTGGGACAAGCAGCACGAAATGTTCGCAGAGTGTATCCGCAAAGCACTGTGGTCCAAAGATGGCAAACAGCTTTGCACAGCATGGCAACGAGAAGAAGGCTGCTCTGCCCCCAAGCATGATGCGCACCACATCTGCTCTGGCTGTGGGGCTACTGTGCATGGAGCCCAGAAATGCCCTTGCGCACAGAAAGCTTCATCCATTGACACCATACAAAGCTGATGCCTGGGAGCATGAGCTACAGAACACGGGAATCCTCAAATGGTTCGCTAAGGTACCAATCAGTTTCTGATCAGGTTTTCACATAGACTTCCCTCATATCTCATCTGTACAAACCCCCCCGAATAAAGTTTCCATTATCGAGTACGAAACTGAATTTAATAACATCATTCAAAAAGAGCTTGTCAAAGGGAGGTACATAGGCCCATTCACAGCAGATGTTCTAGAATTGTTAATAGGACCCTTCCAATCTTCCCCCCTGTCCATCATCCCTAAGCCGGGAAAACCAGGAAAGTTCAGAATCATTCGGAATTTCTCGTTCCCACACGAAACCAATGCATCCTGTCATTACCCATCCATAAATTCGTACATCAATGCGGACGATTTCCCTACAACCTGGGGAAAATTCTCAACGATCTACCAGCTAATCTTGAAACTTCCCCCAGGTTCAGAAGCTGCTACTAGAGACATAGCCAAAGCATATTGTACAGTACCGTTGCACCCATCCCAATGGCAAGCAGGAATAGTTAGAATTTCGGATATGCTGTTCTGTGTGGACACCTGTACAGCCTTTGGAGCCACACCATCAGCAGGTGTTTATGGGCATGTGGCTGATGCAGGCGCAGAAATCTGTTGCCACCGAGGTATCAGCCCACTTAATAAATAGATTGATGACCACATATTCTTCCAAATTCGCCAAGAACATCTAACTACGTACAACGAACAAAGGCTTGCATGGTACCAAATGTTCGCTAAAGCAGGGTTATGTCAAACAGGAGATAGATTATGGTATGGAGACCAGTGTCCAATCAGCGGACAGTTAGAAGAACTCAGTGAGAACTGCATTCACTCCCTTAAGTATCTGTCAAAGACCTCACCGTGGTCCAAAAATGACATGCTTTTCATGTTCTGTCTTCAAGACATTGATAACCTATCCCATGAACTAGGAATAATCTGGGAACTGTTGAAAATGATGTTTGTGTCATTAAGTGTCATGAAAGTTGACAAATATCTCACAGCCATCCACAAATGGAGAAAATGTGTAACACACATTCTAAAGGACATCCAAGAACTGTACGGAAAATTACTCCACGCTTGTGCAGCTGTTCCTCGAGGCCGAGCTTATTTAACAGGGCTCAAAGGAATGCTATCATCTTGTGGAGCCAAGCCTTTCCTTTCACACAGAGCATCAAAGAACATCCCAAGTGAATTAGATTGGTGGTCACTACTACTTCAATTGGGCGGCGTCTCTAGAACTATCTACCCTGCAATTCCACTAACAGACCCTGAGGCATTCTCAGACACAAGCTCAGGCATAGGCATAGGAATTATCATCAAGGGTTGTTGGTGTGCATGGAGACTCATACCGGGGTGGAAAACCCTTAATGGAAAACGGGACATCGGATGGGCGGAGGCAGTGGGCTTCAAGCTCCTTGTATACACTCTTGCCACTCAGCCTAACTCTAGCAGGCGACTCCTTGTGCATGGAGACAATACAGGAGTGGTTGAAGGGTGGTGGAAGAACAGCCACTAAAACGCAGAAGTCAACATCATTTTTTGGTGAGTCCACGAGTTTATTCACAACTTACCCCATCATTTTGAAGTCACTACAAGCTATGTTCCCAGCAGATCCAACCCAGCTGATGAGCCATCCAGAGGCATTTACAGCCCAACCGAACTTCTTCTTCCCCCAATCCCCATTCCAACCGACATTAGCCCTTTCATCATCGACACAACTGAACCTTTGTCCCCAGCCGAACTCTGTCACTTGCATGAAGGCAATTACTCCCTCCCAGCCACTAAACTTATTAACTGCAGCCTCATTTGCCAACAAGCAGCAGAGAGAGCAGCAGCTGCACATTCTGAGGAGGAAGCCATTATTAAAAGAGCCCTCCTCGACGAATGACTCCCAGAGAGTTCCTCGGTTTGGAGTGTCACTACCAAAAGCAAACATGTCAATAATAACCCCCCAAGCCTATCACCCAAACCTTACACTGAACCTTTCCCCTCTCTGCCCACACTGCCCCACTCGAGACAGACTATGACTATGGACCCCTGCAGGGGAAAGTACAAGACAGTCAGCATACGAAACACCAGGAATGCCAAACCATGTAGTATCAGACAAACAACTCAACCACATTCTCGAGGTAATTGGATCTTCATGGGCACAATCCACAAAAGAAGCCTACAGCGGCGGACTACTCGTATTCCATGTATTTTGCAATATGCGGGAGATCAACAAGGACACACAATGTCCTGTAGCTCCAAACCTGCTACTTGAATTCCTGTCCAGTTGCGCAGGAACTGACTCCAGTTCGGCCCTGTCCAATTTCATAGCAGCCATAAAAGTGTGGCATTTGCTGCATGGCAGAGAATGGAAGATCAACCCCCAAGTGCTGAAGACAATCCTGAATGGAGCAGCAGCATGCGCACCTGAGTCATCAAAACTTCCCAAGAGAAACCCAACAACCATAGAGTTTATCACCAATATCCACAATTTCCTTGATCTAAACACCCTGCTAAACGCAGCTGTTTTCGCCTGTTTAACAACAACTTTCTACTGCATAGTAAGGTTAGGAGAATTTACAGTAACAACAATTAAAGAATTCAATCTGAAAAGACACATTACCAGAGGAGACGTTTTGGAAGCACAAGACTGTAACGACCTGCCAGTGACAAAGTTTCAGCTGCCATACACAAAATCAGTGAAGCACAAAGGAGAGAAAATGTTTTGTGCCAGCCAGGATGGTCCCACCGATCCTAAAGCTGTGTTAGAGAATTATCTCTGTGTTAACCAAGCCAATAGCAAGGATCACCTCTTCGTGTGGAGACACCCCAAGGGAATTAGGCCATTGTCGAAGAAGGAATTCTCAAAGAGGTTGTCGAGGGCAACAGCAGCAGCCGGTCTACTGGATCTAAAAGGTCATAGTCTGCACATCAGGGGAACCCTTGAGTATTTGTTGAGGGGCGTACCTTTTGACGTCATCAAGTCAATGGGGTGCTGGTCAAGCAAGGCTTTCACAATATACTTGCAAGACCACGCGCTCATCTTAGCGCCATACATTCAAGCATTGCCGAGTCTCCAACCATTCACTCGATACATGATGTCACCTGTCCGCTAAGACGTCCCAAAAGTGAGTAGATCAGCTCCTGTAAGAATGGAATCAAGCTGCACTGCATGCATCGCCGAACTCCTCAAGTATGGGAACACAGCTCACCTTGATCCTGGGTTCAAACCCATGCTTCTGGCCAGATCAGCCCTTCGGGCTGATGCCCAAACACTCAACACCTGCCTACAGTCTGCTTCATTGAAAGAACCATCAGAACATAGACTCTTTTTCGTAGTACACACCATAGCCAATTGGTCATCATCCACGTCGACTAATGACACTATCTTTCAGAGCGCTAACTCGTCATGAAGTAGATAGACTTGCAGCTTGTCTGGTAGAATGCCTATATGCTGACAGAATGGGTAAGTCAAGCAGGTGGTGGATATTCCAGAAAAGAAGGTTTATGAATTGTAAACTGCTGCATGCCAGGAACTGGCAGCTCATCTGGTAGAACACCTGTATGCTGATGGGATGGGCCAGCCAAGCAAGTGGTGGATGGCATTCCAGAAAAGAAGGTTTGTGAACTGCTGCCCACCAGGAACTGACAACTCGTTTGGTAGAATGCCTGTATGCTGATGGGACGGTCAAGCCAAGCAAGTGATGGATGGCATTCCAGAAAAAAAGGTTCATAAATTGGTTCGTAAATCATAAGGGGTAGGTAATGGGCATCTAATCATTGTATCACTTCCGTTCTCCCTCCTCCTTCTCCAGCTTTTCCTCCTACATCCCTAGATGTGCTCTAAACCCAGAAGATGTTCCATCTCGTCCAACTCCCACCATAACCTGAGCAACACTTCACACCTGTCCTCTACCATCAATGCTAGGAGGTATTTGTCATGACACAACATTTGGATGAGGGGGTGGACAGGACATAGCGCGTGCAGATGGGCTTGTGTGTGTTCCATATCGTCTTGTATGATCTCCTGTGCGTAGTCCCATAGCACCTAGAAACATCATAATTTGCTAACAGAGATGGGCAGCAATGGACTTACTATCATGGATGGTGTTACTGCAAATGTTTCTTGACTGGGTTGGTCCCATACATTTCCAGGGTGCTCAATGTTCCCATCATGATCCTCCAGATCTTGCTCCATGTTCCCAGTGTGCTCCTCTATATCTCCAGCATGCTCCTCCATAGCTCCTCCCTGATCCTGCATGTCGTTTCCAGCTTGTTCCTCCCTATGAAAAGGCTGTTGTAGAATTAGTGTATTCACTCAGGTGGTAGTCTAACTTACATGGTAGTTTTCATTAAGATGAACTTCCTGCAGACGATGCATCAGTCCCCACACGTCATCAGGCTACTGACAACTTACATCATTTGCGTTAAGTTCAGCCATCATTGTTGATTGAAGTAGAATTAGGATTAACATCTGAAGATGAACACATTCAGTTTCGATGAACAGGTCTCTGAAGTCATGTGTCACATATATTCAAACATAAACTATTTATGAATGCGCGACTAATACCTGATGAATGCCCAGCAAGCGCCCAATGAATGCCCATTATATTCTCCTGCTGCTTAAACTTTGCATTTTCTCAATCTCATTTAAGCATAGGGAAAATTCAAAATTTCCCGGAGTGGCAACACACCTGTTATTACATAATATTTTACATCTGCACCTCAAAATTTTGAATTTATCTTTCCATGAAATAGGATTGTAGAAATTTATATTTTTCAGAAGGAAAATTTTTTGAGTATAAAATACACTTCAAATTGGTGTCGAAATAGGTTATTTACTTTGTCATTTTTTCTGTCAGTCGAAATTTGCCATTATCCCAGTGATACAATTCAAAGTACAAATGCCTAACTTGACATTCTCATTTCAATTAAAATCTTACCCAAAGCAAAACTCAGAAACTGGTGTGTGAATGTGATAGGCACGCATCATCAATCATGTGCATGTTTTGTGCTGTTTGTGACGACATACTATGGGTTACAGTTTATTCATTACGGTCCACTATTTCGTGATTTTTGTCTATAGCACTCAATTGTGAAGTAATTGCTTAGCTACTTCACTGGGTATGTTCTATATACTATACTATCATATCCCAAGTGAAATAAAAAAAATATGTTGAGAAATGGTAGAGATCGTGTTTTCAGCATGACAGCAGCAAAAAGCATGATTCAGTGTCACCTGTTGTGGCCGCCGATGTTAGACATTAAATTTAGTAGTGCGTTTCATCCACATCTGGCACCAAGTCATGAACTTCAAGTTCACAATCCATCTATGTATCAATATATACCCACTGACACATCATCATACATTCCCTCAGCAAAATTTTACACATTGTTAACAACTTGCATTTAGCTCTCCGTACATACTGTAGCTCACATATTTACTACTAAGTAGCCTCCGAGTCCTAATCAATTATCATTGAAATTCACGAATCACATGTGCTGAGCGGACTGTAAATTCAGGCCAGTGTGACTGTCCATTACTATTTGTGACATAGGGTGACTCACGAAATCACCTGATTAGCCCAATTAGTAAGCCTCATTAGGCTTAACAATCTCGTGCCTTGCCAACTATACTTAGGCTTGGGTGTAGTAATATCCTGACACCAGCATTAAACCATGCCCCAAATCATCTCATACCTTCTCTACACCACTACGATAGCTAGTGCCTATCCCGCCCCCGCCTTTGATTCCAGCACTTTCCGCAGGTGTGCCCACCTTTGTCATAGCTGTTGATCTAGCGGGTTCTCATGCCTCCTTCCTCACTGCTGCTCACTGCAGACCACCGCTCCCACCTCTACAACCTAGTAGCCACTATCCTGGCCCTCACCATGCTCTATAATGACCACTCCCTTCAAAATGCAGGCACTCAAGTGGTCTGTGCGCCCTTGCAAGTTGCCCCCAGGCACTGCCTGCCTGCCTCCATCATTGTTCTCACCTCCACCTCCTTGTCCCACCAGTTCTGTCGCTCAAGTGGTCTGTGCGCCCTCCCTCCATCATTGTTCTCATCTCCGCCTTCTTGTCCCACCAGTTCCTCATGTCTCGCGGGCAAAGTTACTTCAAGCTCAAGGGCCTCTCCCATTCAGTCATCGCACATGACTTTCGAGGGCGACAGTGCCCATTTTAAGGTAAGTCCTATATATTTTACTATCTATCACTTCCAATGATGTACAGATACCATACGACGATGCAGATCAATACACCATTCTACTTAGGTTTCTATTGGGATATGCTGGGGGGGTGGGGGGCAGAATATTGAACCAGCATTCGAGTATGCAGGGCAACCATATATTTTCAGGTACTTAAGAACTACGTATGCACAAGTCTATTAACATGCTGCCTTCATACTACCTTTGCAAACTGAATGACACATAACTGCAAATTGAAACTATGGAAGCAAGGGAGATCTTACTCCAACAGTGTACTAGGCGTGGGGCCAAACAATCTTTCTAAGTTGGCCAACATGGCATTGCAGTCAAGGGTGTTGAGGTTTATATACTGATCAAAGGACCCAGAAGCACTGAAATTGCTGTCCAAAGGCTGAGGAGATGTGGTATCCAGAAAGGCAGAAGCAGTAGCAACCACAGATGGCGGTGCTGACTCACAAATGGCCTCATCAGATGGTGCTGCTGACTTGTGAATGACCTCATCTCCCTCCGCATCGCTGTTGTCATCACTAATGGTCTCTGCGCTCTTGAACTGCTTGCGCTGAGCAGTAGACTTCCACACCTCTGCATGTTTCTTTCCTTTGTCTGATTGAGGTTGACAACAATGGTCAGCTAGCTCGCTGCTCTCAAGCTTCTCTTCATGCTCCTTATGGAGTTCCTCAAATTCTTCATTACTCAAGGACTTCTAGCACATTGCACCAGACTCCCACTTGCGCAAAAGCATTTGAAGGTCTGGAAGTGCGCTTGATACCTGACTAAGGTTTATAAAAGGAATCTTCTCAGGCCACCCTTCCATGATGACCTGGTAGCATTGAATAACATTGCCGAAATAGTAGACCCATTGCATCTTTGCATGATCATCACCAGTGATTTCTTCTATAGAAAAAAATGATTCAAACCATTGTCAAGAAGCCCAAAAAAAACTACTCATGAAGCTTGCGGTTGATGATGTTGCAGATTTCTGAATGTGTGTCAGAGACACGTTGCTTGTAGTGTTTTGCAGCACCTGAATGAAATTAGCCTGAGAACACAATAGTATGCAGGACACTAACCTTTCATCCCTTGGACCGCAAAACCTTCCATTTTGCTGACTAAATCTTGATTATCAACCTCCATGATGGTACCCATGAAGTTTTTGATGCCTTTGGTGGCAAATGCAATACCACGGAGAGGAAGGTCTGTAGAGCCACGGTGGTGTAGAGAATAGTCTCTGCACCTGTATGACAATGTAGACTGTTGAGCTAGTATTCATGGGGCTGTGTCAGAGAAACAGAAAGAAAAACGAACAGACTCAGAACACACCTCATCTTCCACCACCTTTAAAGTGTGTGTGATATCATTAATCTTTGATTTTGTTGAGGTATGAACACCAGTAGTCTTTGTCTCCTTGAATTCAATGAACTCAGTAAGCAGTTTGTCTTGTTCCCCCTTTGAGAGGGCAAAGTATTCATCCTTGTTATCATGTATGAGTGATTGGAGCGCAGCTTTACCTAGGCTATCTGAAAAAAAATCATCCGTGAGCACAATGAAGCATGACAGTGTGATAATAAAATAAACTCACGGTTCTCTTTGTCCTTGTTCTTCTTCCAACAGAATGTGTTCCATAGATTGAGCTTTAAGCATTTTGACTGAATAGGTCCACAACCTATGTATAGATTATTTTGAACACAGCGGATACTTTTATGATGGGAAGTAGTAATATTTTTCATAGTGTTGTCCAGTTGCTTCCAAGCATTGTCTAAAGTGTTCTTGAATCGAAGGGACTTAGCACATCGGTCGAGCCTAAGAGCAGTGCAAGCTTCCTTGCTAAGCACAATCTTGGGACGTTGATGAACAGGTGGCTGAACTCACCTCGTGCTTGAACTGCGTTTCTGAGAACAAAAGGACTGGGTAACCATTGGCTATGAGGGAAGCAGTAGAGACCAGTTAGCAATAAATGGTCAAGTTTTGATTCAGCTATTTAATGCACCAAGGATGTGATTTTTTGAAGATCGGCATTCTCGAGTGTAAGGTAAAATGACTCATTATTCCATACTAAGCGAGGGCAAAACATTTGAGATCTACAGTAATAACAAACCAAAAAGGTAAAGTGCACATAGCAATACAAGAATGCCGAGAAGCTTGAAGATAGAGGTAAGCCATGATGATCGGTGCTTTGTGGACATTAATATAATTCGCTTCAAAAATTGAGAATGGAAGATAACTAACTTTCAAGCTAGCGGCAACCTCAGGGTTGATGGACCATATACCCACTTGTAGGTCTGCAAGAAGGGCACTGAACAAAATGGCTGCTTTTCATACTTAAGGTCCCATGCCGGTGACCTTAATATGGCCTCCCAACGGCTACTGTGTACGGTTCCAATCAAAGTTCGGAGTTTCAACACATTTTTGTCACCCAAGTTCAGCCAATCAAGTGTGGCATCTGTGTGAGGCCCAATGCTAATAAGCAGCATCCCAAAAGTTGTGGGATCACTAGCGACTTGACTCTGTGTGTGTGTTGCCACCAGTGGGCTAGACTTGGCAAACATATTGGCTGGATGGTGTTGACGGATCTCAGAGTGTGGGGTCAATGGTGTAGTTTTTTTCACAAGTCCAGCAGCCAATTCTCCTCCATGATGAATGGCTACAGAGCTTGAAGAATCTAGAGAGGACTGCATACTGGTGGAAAAGACCTTTGGGGCTTGTGCAGAGCACTGGATGTGAGTTCTTGTGGCAACCATAGGTGCAGGAAGGTGTTGTGGCCCAGTAACACTAATATGAGCTGCAGGGACTTCAGAGCCGTGTTAGCAATGAAACAATGAGATAAACAATGAATTACTTACAGTTCCTACTGGGTTTCATATTTTCAACAATGCAGTGCGCAGCAAAGCGCTGGAGGTGAGGTACTGCAAACTCCTGTGCAAATGCCTGCACCAAGACAGCGACATCTCCGCCAATTCTCTGTGGTGTTTCTTGTAGCTCACGGGGTGTGATATAGATGTCGATAGGAATTTGTTCAGGTGAGATATTTGGGGTCGCTTCACTACCAGTGCATCAAATGATGAGGGATATCCCACCATCCAGGCGGTCTTGCAAAGTGATCTGAAACATATTATGAGGTTTAAGAAAAGAAATATGGGAACAACTGACTGCATCAAAGACATCTTGGAGGGCTGCTTCAACTAGCTTGCTGTGAGTAAGGGTCCGCTCCATCTCATTTCCATTGATTGACCGATTGAAGCCAATGTATGATGGGTGAAGACCCCCTGTGGTCCTCGTCTGGTAATGTGTGCTGTCAATATGAGCATAGTGCCTAAGTAGAGCCCATGCAGCAGCTTGTCACTCATTATTGCTGAAACCTGGTGCAAAGGTAGGAGTACACAAAGTGGCAAGACCTGACATAGTGAAGCGGCTGAATTCCACCAGTTTGGCACCTGGAGGTTTGAAGGGTGGTGGAGAGGAGGTTGGTTTCATGGGCGCAAATTTCTTGATGCTAGGTGCAGCAGAAAAAGGAAGTGCAGGTAAGTTGCAGTTAAAGGGTCTATTAATGCACAATGACTACTAGTCATGGTGTTATTATATACACCGATCGGCAACATTATATCACTATATCTACAAGTGTATGTTACATTATCGCATTTCTATATCTATGAGTGTATGTTACATTACCGCCATTTCTGTATATAAAAGTGTATGCGCAGTTCCATCCACGTCAGCAGTTGTACACTACATTATCACATTTCCGCTAAGTTTCTGACATCATTCATAGAACAATCAATGAATTACAACCAGACATACAAAATACAATACTAATGATCTAAAGGTAAGTAAGAGGTGTCCAAGTGCGGTAGTAGGTTGTGCCCAAGTGTAGTAGTAAGTGGTGCTCCAGTTAGTCGATAATCGACTGTAAATAATTAGCCATATCCCCTGTCAATGTCTCTTGTTCTTCATGATCAATGGCGTCAACATCAGCATCAACATCAGTATACTCAGGATTAACAATGGCCTGGAGATTCACAAGATTGTCAAGTCACCCTGTGAGATACATCAGTATTGAATCCATGTGCTCCAACAAAATGTACCACTGTGGGCAACATCAGCATCATGCGCAAGACATATACCAACACCCCTCACTCCGGAAAAACCTGCAAGTTTCTCAATGTGATCCAATCGGTAGCAATGCACTGCATTGATAGCTGTGCATGAATGGTATTGGCACTGGAGCTCGTGGGCAAGCTGCAGATCTGAAACAAGAATGTCCTGTACAATGGCGGACATCCTGAGCTCTTCATCATGCATGGAGGTGCACAGGCATAGAACTTCAACATTCAGATGAGTGATTTCCTCATGTGCTCAGCAAAGCTTGAAGAATTTGGTAGTTGTTTCTCGATGACCTGGCTTCGACCAATCACTGGTTCGAATATTATTGCGAGAATATCGCAGAAGATCGAATTTGCCTAGAAAACCATAGTCAGCAATATCTTTCCATGAAATCTTTGGTTGCGGTGACCTGCACCAAACTGGTTGCATACCTTCTCAGGTGGTGATGCCCTACATGTGAATACATATTCATAACAGCACAAGATTTGAATCATGCACTTGATGAGATAGAAGAAAGATTACGGGATATTCAGCAGGAAGATTTTCAAGCAGAACTTCCACCTATGCCTCGAAATCATATCATGACTGACCCATTACGATACCCTTTCCCTAATACAGAAGATGAACTGAGCTTAGCTAGTTCTTGAAATACCCCCTCCCCCTGAACATTTGCAATCGGGGACGATTGATTTCTCAGTTTCCAATAGATGACCTGCACCAAACTGGTTCGGTGCATGGATGACTAATACTCTCCTAAGAGCCCTATACCCTATGAAATCATTTTCCCTGTGATCTGAAGTCAGACCGAGGCTAAGGGAATATTTTTCGCTCTTTTTCACTTTTGCGAGTTTGCATGCAAGCAGACTGAATATTTTAGTACATTTAATTCTGCAATGAGTTTTGCTTAGTCAGCCATGGTGATGACCCAGACAAAAATCCCGCACATGTCAGGTGACTGTGAAAAATATTTCCCACATATGTTGTCCTGGAAAAACATTAGTAAAACCCTAAATACTAGGCTCACGTCATTTTCACCATCCAAACAAAGCAAAGAAAAGACACACATACAAAGGATTCACATCATGTGACATTTCTTACTCTCTTTCTGGACTTGTCATCAGGAGCTGGATAGGTCACATGACTAGCAACAAACCAGGATGACTTAGCAAAATACCCAATGACTCATTATGACTCATTATGACTCACTATGACTCTTGATGACTCTTGAATATACTAGTAGCACAGCCACATTATTTGTGTATATAATGACCCCACTTTTGAAATAATAAAAGCAACCAAGTGGGAGTTTTCAGCCCATCAAACATTAAGTTGTGAGTAAGGTGTGATAAGTGTCAGCATCAGTGTCAAGAACTGTTCAAGACTGAGAGGAACATTCTCAAGAGACAGTAATACTGCAAGCTCATCATACTAAACGACTAGCTGTGAGCTCACTGTGTGCAACAACCAGCAAGCAAGGTACAGCCACAGTTTTATTCGAATTTCTATTCTTCTTTTTCTTTTCTTTTCTCTTTTGTTTTACTTTCACCAGCCTTTGGTGTTCTTTTTCCAAAAAGCATATTTCAAAATATTCATGTTGTCTCTACGTCCACCTAAGACTCAGAGTAGCTTAGTGGGGAGACTTAAGGGATTGATAGTGAAGCTTGACCTCACTCATCTGAGTAGTGATACTGAGCCAAGGTTTTCTGTGCCTGCTAGGCTTTAGCTGTTGAAGAGGGGACTTGGTAGTAAATCCAAGGACATCTGTTCCTGAGTCTGTTTGAATACTCAAAGTGAGTTCCTTGACAGCAGGTTCAATATTGAGCTAAGAGTTCTACAATAAAGCATTGGACTAGTCTTGACCTTTGATTCTACCTGTTTTGTGCTGAGGCGGTTGATCATTGTAATTCCACACCATTCTTTTTTTGGAGTACAGTTTGGTAAGAGGCACTGTTGTTGATAGGAAGCTCGAGGGAGAGCTTTCTATTTCTTTGGTTACTGCCATACTGTCGGGTTGACCATTATTTGTTTGTTTGTTTGTTTGTTTCTGTCAAGTCCATAGATTGGATTGACCATCGTATTTACTGATCTTGCAGAAGTACCTTTAGCTGAACGTACTTTGGGTAGTATACAACTAGCCACCCACGAATGACCATGTTATCAGTCATTGGTATTTGTCTGAATCACTGACCATGGAGATATTTGTTTTTATAGGTGTTTATCTATAGATCATCTATCTAAGAAGACAGCGGTGGCTTGAGTGCTACGGCTTGAGTGTTGTACCAATTAATTGCATCACGGATCACATCCGAACAACGTTGTAGAGCCTTTCCAATCTGCTACCATAGCTTGTACCCTATCAAAAAATCATTTTTAGTGTATGTATTTTGACATAAACAAACTTGCCTGTTCCCAATAATGATAGTTTTGAGAGTTTGAACAGCCTCATCACAATGAGGCGCTCTAGCTCATCTAGGGCAGTGCAATACTTGCCCAGGGTTGCTTCCTCCTTGAAATGCTGGTACTCCGGTCCGCCAATCTCCCACCGCTGATCAACAACCAATTGAACCTCAATGTGCGCAACAAGCGCCTCAGCATTCTGTAACTTAGTGTAGGAAGTGTCAACTTGAATGTGAGCTTGTGTGAGGGCACTATTGATTTGCTCCAAGCTACCAGTGGGAATACTAGTAAGGGCATTGTTGCCAACTTCGCGGGCTGCATCCCAATCGGTTCTAGATCAATCAAATTATCAAAGTGTTAAGACCGTGCACAAAGGGTAGGACTGATTCCGAGGGGCTTGGCTTCAGCTCGTGCGCTGCGCCCCTTACCCGAGTATGTGCCCTTAATTTCAGAATGATGTCCAAAGAAAGTCCAAGAATGTCCGAAGGACGTCCGAAGCGTGGGAAAGTTCGGAAGGACTTTCTGGACGAGTGCAAGTAACTTCTGGACGAGTGCAGGAAAGTTCCGGAAATTACGATGAGGTTTCGTCCTGATACGGATATGTGTAATGGCTACTTAGGACAAGTCCTAAGTAGAAGCAAACAGAGGAAAGGCTGCAAGGACAAAGTCCGAAGCAGAATAGGTCCGGAGGACCATGGGAAAGTTTCGGACGAACGTCCGGAAACTTTGGAGGATCGGATGAGCGGATAAGCGGAGTTCTGGCCTAGGGAATTTCTCCCTAGGCCCGAGATGGATATTGACTAAGTCGATAGACTAGAACTGATGTGAGGACTTAGAGTGAGATCTAGTGTGAGGACTAATATGATATTCAGACTGAGGAACTACAGGACATATACAAGAGTTTATATACTAAGGAAATAACGGAAAGATCAGTAAGCAAGCGTCTGAGGCTATGTATGAAGCATAAGCAAAGTTATCAAGCGCGAGTCGGAAATGAAGCATAGGATAACGGATCAGTAAGCGTACCGGTAGTAAGTATAACTGAGATACCGAGGACAAGGAATACCGAATAGAGGAATAGGTTGTGTTAACGTTATATGCACAGGAAATGAATTAGGAAGCTTATCATATATCGGATCGGATCAGACCGGACCGGACCGGATGTCCGGACAAGAAGCGTGGATATACGGGATATGATATTAGGGCAATAGGACAAAGGATGAATGATGCAGGCTAGCTGCGGAGGTATGGAGGTCCGATGTACGGAGGTAAAGGGATCTGGACATGGATGCGCGGATGTGGATGTGCAGAGGTGCAGGGATCCGGATGGGTAGAGGACTGGAGACATGGATAGGGCATCCGAAGGTCCGGATGAGGCGTGGGAACATTATCGGATGTAGGTCCGGAATACGGGATATGACACAAAGCCTTAATTACGGTATGGAAGCTTTACTTACCGTAGTTCTGCGAGCTCGTCAAGGACCTCAACATAGTGTATGCAGAGCTGGTCTCTAACTGGTGGCAGCTTCAAACTGTCTAAGTGATCATATTCTTCTTTGTAAAATTGATAAAAGTCTTCATCAGTCAGAGATAACTCAGCCTTGATGGTCACGAGCTCGGCAGTGAGTGTCTGAATCGATTTCAATGCTTCTCGATAATGGTTCCAAATAAAATTGCCTGAACAAATCATTATTTGCATAATCGAAAGACTTGAAAAAAAATACACACCCAGCGTGGCATACTTATCAGCATCCCAGAATGAAAAATGCTCCTCAATAGTCTGGTGCTGGTGGAATGGACTTGCATGTCTCATACTACAAGCAAGCTCATTTGATGATGAGACAATATGCTCACACCCTTTGCCCTCAGTGTGTCCAATTCCCGGAATGTACATGGGATGCCAGTTGAGCTGGCATCTACGATTATGAGTGTGTCCATGAAATGCGCCCATCATGAGCCGAAAGTCCAATTCATGTGCTTGTGTACCCAAGGAACTATTACTTAGTGTCTTCGAAAATGTGCACCCGATGTCATAGGCACATCCTCCATTCTTCCCATATACTGCAAGGAGCTTTTTGATTATGGCTAGTGGATATTTTGCCCTGTTAAATTAGCTCAGTAGCAGCAAAGATGAATTGAGAAATTACTTAACAATTCCCTGCTCTGGATCATGTCACAGGCTAGAAGAACAAACCGATGACGACATGCTGCAATAAAAATGCCTGATTCATCAAATACTGAAAACATTTTTTTACAAGTTTTGGGTCCAGCATTGCGCCAGCGGTTGACACACATGAATGTCCCACCAGCTTTAGTTCCGACTGTGTCATACATCCAGTTATCATTGTTCGACTCTCTCTGCAGGGCATTGTCAGACTGTAGTTGCATGAAGAGAAACATCTTACTTCTCGTGTCCTTACTTCATCCTTGAACCTGTCTACATCGCAGGCATCAAGCCAGTAGTCAGACCATGCCTTATGAGAATCCAGGCGCCTTTTGAGCTGTAAATTGTCAAGTCCCACCATTTCAAACTGTTATTGCCATCGATAGATACCAGCCAATCAAATTCTAGTGCTGGCTCATCCTCCAGCTTATAGAAGCAAGCTGGGCCTAAATTGAGCATGTGCCAATGCGGTGTGTCATGTTTGAGCACCATGCAAAGCCGCTGATTCACATGGTGAAGGATTTCTAAATAAATGTCATAAGCAACTGAGAGTTGTACACTGAGGTACAGTCGGTAGGGAATCTTATGACAACATCATTAGCTAAGCCAAAAAGAGTTGTGTGGACGTACATCATGAAGGAAACATAGAGATTTGACTTGGGCTTGAATGCTGAACCTAGGACAAGAGCGATGGATTTGACAGTAGGTGGCAAGAGTGCGCAGTGATACAGTAACTGTTGGATAGATTGGTGCGCACCCGATGTAGCCATGATATATCAATGTCTCATTGGGGTATTTGTGGAGGGGCCATGATCAAAGTGAGGAGTAGCTTCGTTCTGCAAATAAATTAGGGCATATAGAAGTGGAAAATCCATTTTACATACTGAAGAGATCAATGAGTTCTATGTTAGTCAGTGAAACACTGGGAGAATCGTCTAAAGGTGGTTCCAGAAGCTCATCCTCCAAGATTGGCATGCCATCTCCAGAATCACAAGAATGGTAGTCGAGGTAAGCGTTCACAAGCAAGTCCAGCTGAAGATGCCAGTGTTCAGTTTGATTTTCTGTTCGGTCCTGTCGAGTGCGGAGATCAACATAGTGACTGGTGGATGGCATGAGCAAGAAGGTGTAGAGTTAGGAAAGTGATACATACTAGCCACTGACGTCCGCTATTTGCTCAGTGAGTCCTTCGAAGGCTTCATATTCTCCACCTGCATGACTCATGTCCATCCCTTCCTCTCCTGGAGGTGCAGTGCATGGTAGTCCATCAATATCCATTCCACAGTTGACCATCATATCCTCCACCAACTGACAATCCTCATTTGGCATCTCTAACATGAGTAATATATGGTTGGTTAGAAGTGAGCAAAGTCAGAATATGAAGAAATACCTAGGATTTCAGCCTGACAGCTTGCATCCACAGCTTCTTTGCGTTGAAACTGCCAGCTAGCTGCCAAGAAATGGGATTGGTGCTGTCGCCCTCGAAAGTCATGTGCGATGACTGAATGGGAGAGGCCCTTGAGCTTGAAGTAACTTTGCCCGCGAGACATGAGGAACTGGTGGGACAAGGAGGCGGAGATGAGAACAATGATGGAGGGAGGGCGCACAGACCACTTGAGCGACAGAACTGGTGGGACAAGGAGGTGGAGGTGAGAACAATGATGGAGGCAGGCAGGCAGTGCCTGGGGGCAACTTGCAAGGGCGCACAGACCACTTGTTAAGACCGTGCACAAAGGGTAGGACTGATTCCGAGGGGCTTGGCTTCAGCTCGTGCGCTGCGCCCCTTACCCGAGTATGTGCCCTTAATTTCAGAATGATGTCCGAAGAAAGTCCAAGGACGTCCGAAGGACATCCGAAGCGCGGGAAAGTTTGGAAGGACTTTCTGGACGAGTGCAAGTAACTTCCGGACGAGTGCGGGAAAGTTCCGGAAATTACGATGAGGTTTCGTCCTGATACGGATACGTGTAATGGCTACTTAGGACAAGTCCTAAGTAGAAGCAAACAGAGGAAAGGCTGCAAGGACAAAGTCCGAAGCAGAATAGGTCCGGAGGACTGCGGGAAAGTTTCGGACGAACGTCCGGAAACTTCGGAGGATCGGATGAGCGGATAAGCGGATGAGCGGATGAGCGGATAAGCGGATAAGCGGAGCTCTGGCCTAGGGAATTTCTCCCTAGGCCCGAGATGGATATTGACTAAGTCGATAGACTAGAACTGATATGAGGACTTAGAGTGAGATCTAGTGCGAGGACTAATATGATATTCAGACTGAGGAACTACAGGACATATACACGAGTTTATATACTAAGGAAATAACGGAAAGATCAGTAAGCAAGCGTCTGAGGCTATGTATGAAGCATAAGCAAAGTTATCAAGCGCGAGTCGGAAATGAAGCATAGGTTAACGGATCAGTAAGCATACCAGTAGTAAGTATGACCGAGATACCGAGGACAAGGAATACCGAATAGAGGAATAGGTTGTGTTAACGTTATATGCACAGGAATTGAATTAGGAAGCTTATCGTATATCGGATCGGATTGGACCGGATTGGACCGGACGTCCGGATGAGACACGTGGATATATGGGATATGACATTAGGGTGATGGGACAGAGGATGACTGATGCAGGCTAGCTGAGGTATGGAGGTAAAGGGATGTGGATGTGGATGTGGATGTGCAGAGGTGCAGGGATCCGGATGGATAGAGGACTGGAGACATGGATAGGGCGTCCGAAGGTCCGGATGAGGCGTGGGAATATTGTCGGATGTAAGTCCGGAATACGGGATATGACACCACTTGAGTGCCTGCATTTTGAAGGGAGTGGTCATTATAGAGCATGGTGAGGGCCAGGATAGTGGCTACTAGGTTGTAGAGGTGGGAGCGATGGTCTGCAGTGAGCAGCAGTGAGGAAGGAGGTGTGAGAACCCACCAGATCAACAGCTATAACAAAGGCAGGCGCACATGTGGAAAGTGCCGGAATCAAAGGCAGGGGTGGGATAGGCACTAGCTATTGTAGTGGTGTAGAGAAGGTATGAGATGATTTGGGGCATGGTTTAATGCTGGTGTCAGGATATTACTACACCCAAGCCTAAGTATGGTTGGCGAGGCACAAGATCATCAAGCCTAATGAGGCTTACTAATTGGGCTAACCAGGTACACAAAATAGTGCATCAGGAAAACCCTCCCAGGGAAAAAATGTTATAATTTTCGCTAAAAGTTCTAATTCAGATAATTCTATCTAATTACAAGAATTAGGAATAAAATTGCTAGAAGATGATAATGTGGGATGCAAATATCACAAAATGTCAAGAATTACTTGAATATACAAAAAGTGTATCTATCTAAATACGAATTCAAGCAAAAATCGTTACAATCATCCAGAACCATGGGACGCCCCACCCGATCCCAGCAGCCACCAGTGTTTAGCGCACATGCCTGGCACACGTCAGCGAATGCTGACATGGCTCGAACGTGTGCGGAGGACACTGGAGAGCACCAGAAGAGTGAAAGGAGGGCCAAGACAGGAAGCATGAGATGGAGGGTAGGTTGTAGTGTAAGGCGCAAGAGGTGGTCGTAGTAGCATGCTGCAAGGTTAAAGATAGTAGTAAACGAGAAAAAAAAACATGCGCACCTAGAACAAGCAGTGAACGACTGAGTAAAATTTTGTTGAAGTTCATCATTTGCACATATTTGTTTCACTCATGTGACTGTTTGGTTGATATTGAACCATTTGCATGTATTTGTTTGGCTCGCATGACTTTGGTTTGAAAACTTTTTGAACTTCCAATGTCGATCCTTCATTCCTCAACATTCAATGTTGTCAGCCTCAACCATCAAGCTGATAGGTATGTCTTAGGTTTTTTAAAAAGTTCTATTTAACATTTGTAACTACAAACTAGGTAGTTCAGAGTCGTCCCTCCATGCTCGTCATTGGATTGTGAGTGTGTCAGTCCTTGTTCGAGCAAGAGCCACGCTGATCCAAGTCATTCCCCGCTGCTCGCAGGAAGTGAGTGTGTTAATCCTCATTCCAGCAAGAGCCATGCTGATCCAAGTCATTGTTTGCTGTTTGCAGCGGGTGAGTGCGTCGATCATTGTTCAAGCAACTGCCACCCTGATCCAAGTCATTGTCTGCTGTTCATAGGAAGTGAGTGCATCGATCATTGTTCAAGCAACCGCCATGCTGATTCCAAGTCGTTATCCGCCGCTCGCAGGAAGTGAGTGCATCAATCGTTGTTCGAGCAACCGCCACACTGATACAAGTCGTTGTCTGCCATTCACAGGAAGTGAGTGTGTTGATGGTCGTTCGAGCAACTGCCACACTGATACAAGTTGTTGTCCACTGTTCGCAGGAAGTGAGTGTGTCAAACCTCCTCTGAGCTTGAGCCATGCTGATCCAGGTTGTTGTCTGCTGTTCGCAGTGGGTGAGTGTGTTAATCCTCCTTCGAGCTCGAGCCATGCTGATCGACAATGTCGTCCACCATTTGCAGTGTGTTGATCCTCCTTCCAGGGGTTGCCATACGTCCTTTCTATAAATCCACTCGCGTGTTTCACTAATGTAGCTTTATTAGCTTATGCTCATCCACACATATTCACACTTATATGTGCTTGTCCACACTCGTTCTTGCTGCAACAGGTATGGCTTTGCTTTATCTAAGCCAAGGATTAGGCACCCTTGGCAGCACTTTGAAGATGTTCCCACATACTGTTAGACCCCATTATTATGTAGGAATTATATGGTCTGAGAGACACCCTCCTCCAGGAGGCTGCTCCCTAGTTTTATAGGGCTGAGTAGATCTCCCTCGAGAGGATAAATGCTGACCCTCGTGGCAGAGGGTGAGGGTAGCTTCCTGGTATGTTCCCTGGAGAGCCTCAACATAGCACTTCTCCATATGCTCACCACCTGTCCCGCGATGTTGACAAGTATGATAGTGGATGTGTTGTAGAGCCTCTTGAATCTATATGTTTTCCATACTTCTGTATTCCGCTTTGAAAGCTTTATTTTATTTTTCTCTCCCATTCTTATTGCACAAACAAGTTATTCAGACACAACAGCATGCATTGACTAATACAACAACAAGAACAAGGTAATCAACAACAGTAAAGTCAGATGTGGAGGCTCGAAAGGTACATGGTGATATACAATATATGTGACAGATGGACTGAGCACAATGGATACAGCCAAACACACCAGTTGCAAATGAGGCCCGTGAGCTTAAGGTGCTTGTCCACCACTGTCCAGGTCGTTAGGATACTCACGCCCATGTCCATATTGATATATCCCCCCAACACCATAATACACACCACTCACCAGGTGCCAATAATCCTCACAGTATCCATCATAACCATCACAAGGGTGGAGGAACACTGTGGCAGGTTGCGTGGATTGTGAGATGCTCTCAAGAGGTTTAAGCAGCCAATCAAGTAACAAATAAAACTCAAACTAAAACATAAAACATTGATTATGGACTGAGTACTGATGATAACAGCATCTGGAATGATCTGGAATAACAGCATCTGGAATGATCTGGAATAACAGCATAGTAGTCCCTACATATAACAAGACCACCATTGAGTACTATTGTAAGGCAAATGACCCACAACACTGCACTTTGCACAAAAAGCACAGTGTCACGGCTCATTTACCTTGCAAGATTCTACAACTGTACATGTATTGTATTTTGACTCATTCCACCCACCCTCCACCTTCTCCTACTGCTCATTCTGAACCCATCTCAATTTCAGGTTCCGCATGTCATTCATCGTTTGTTTCGTCCCACAGTCACATGTAGTGGCCTAGAAGAACGATATATCAGACTTGAAGGTGAATCTTTCCGAACTACCTTTGTATCAGCTCACACTCTATCTACAGTCATCAACAGAAAGAATATTCAAATTCCTTCTGGGCGCATTCCTGCTGGCATCTACATATCTGTCAATGTCAACTCCCGGAGGCATTTGAAATCAGCTACCAGTGTCTTATCATCTGATAAATCTGTAGCTTGGAGGAATTCTGACACTATGCAAGAACTGATCTTTGGTTTATAGATAATCACACTCCTCACCTGCACTGTCAGTGGAGATCAGAGCATCTTATGAGCATGGTTGAATGCTGGGCAGTGGTGAGGTCATTGGAAGACTTCAAATGTCATGGGATGAGCTACTCAATCATATGGACATGAGCCATTCAGTGAGTGATTTGCTTCTTATTCATGCACATACACTGACATCCTGTAGATTTAGCATTCCCACCTGTGCGTGGTGTTCACCCTTCCATCGAGCTGAAGGCCGCTATTGTACATGCTTGTGATGATCAGGACGACGCACTGTTTGGTGTGAGTGACACTGGTATCTCTCCTTTAGCTTTTGCTGACAGAATGCAAACTGCCATCCCTCATAGACTGCAAGATTGCTCGAGGCACATATACGAGCCATATACAATTTACTGCATACGTAACAAGCAAGACAGTCTCTCACCTGAATGACGCTGTAGAGCATTTTCAGTTAGTTCTGGATTAGTGTCCGGTCAGCCATCCAGATCATGCAAGGGCTCTCACCAACCTCCCATAGGTCCACCTCTTAGGCTACATCCGAAATGATCTCGAAGACATCAATGCCACCACTTCCCTCTTCTGCAACGCACTTGCATTGTGTCCACAGCACCATCCTGACCATCCCTTATCTCAATATAATCTTACCGAAGCGCTGACTTGGCACCACATCAAGAAAGGTACTGCTGCCAATATCTGCAAAGTCGCCCAACTCTATCATAAACTACTGTCTCTCTGTCCAGAGGACACCTACCTTCGTAGCATCGCGGCAGGCAATAGTGTCAATTAGGCCCACCTTCACCTGCCAGACGCGTCTCCTTCGCTTTTTGGAATGCTTAAATTAACTGAAGCAATGTTGAAGTACATGAGGAGGATGTCGAGGGCCTTGCTGCATGATCAACGAAGCCCACAATCACCACTCCGCCTATCCAGTGGTTTGTATCAGACATTCACAACTCATTCATGTACTACACCATGTCATCATTCAATTTTGACATTCAACCTACCATTCTCAACTCACACCAGCTGGCTTACATGTGTGCACTACTGTCCATGTCTGTGCGCTCATAAAGCCTGAAAAAGCATGATCATCAGGCCTATATATGCTACAAGATGGCCACACCATATATCCCATAGTGCTTCTGATACGATGAGAGGTGGGTCACAAGTTGTCCTCGAAGATGAGAAGCACAAGCAAATAGAAACTTGCATCTAACGTTCCAGCGACATTGCCTATAAACACTCGCTCCTCGCTTCCCTGTTCTGTACACTGCTTTCCTTCATTGGTACAGTATCCAGGACATTGGTTGAAACATTGTCAATGTCAAGACCTATGGCAAGTGATTCAAATAAATACTGTGACAAAACTATTGTCTAAACCTATGTCTCCTTGACACCTATTTTGTGAGACTAAATAACTACTTGAGCACCGCAACAAGGCTTGGAATAGAAACAAGTCAATATATGCACACACTCTTGAAAAGCAATTGAGGTCATGCGGGATGCTGCGTCAGAGTCAGCCACTAGCTTAGCATTATATTCTCGAACGCCAAGGATCAGGTGTGGTCCCAGCACAAACGTCTGCACCACTGAGAAAATCTGAACCAAGCCATAAAAAGTCTGACTTTCTACGGAATTTTGGTCCTATAAAAATGATGAATTGTGGTTGCATGCAGAGTTAAGTGAAAGATTAACATACTGTTGATAATGTTGGAGAGAAATCAAGGTCGATGACTACACATAAGTGGCGTGCACAGTGCTGCGCAGGATGATGGGAGACGAGAGGGTGGGCATGATGACAGTGGGTGTCCAAGTGGGACTTGCGACTCGAAATGGTGTGAGACTGAAGTGACGGGGGCATCAGTTAGTAGAGAAATAAAACTAGATAAACGCACCCAAACCAACTATACCAATCCTACTAGGTAAAGACAATTGAAGATATGAGCAACATGAGGCAGAACGAAGGCAAGGATAACCAAGCGAACAACAGTGCAAATTGTCGCAGTGCAAGCGTGTTGAGTATAAGCTGGGAGCTGTCATGGTGGAGAGACAGGACTCAGTCAAGACAAGGATGGAATGAGCACTAAGTACCATTAAGTAGTCCTGGGACGGGGATGTTGATGATGTCGGTGAGGAATCGCAGAGCATCACAGATGATGTACGGAATATCCAGAGGGTCAGGAGAGGGCTATGAGGCTCGAGGGAGGCGCTGCGGGAGAATTCTGGAGGAAGGAAGGTGTGCTATAAATAGAACATCAGTGAGGCTGGGTCTCTTAGACCATATAATCCTAACATAAAAATAGGGTCTGACAGACCTTTAATAGTACCGAGAACTGCTGCCTGAGGTGGGATTAGGTATTTGCGGTCAATTGTAGCTATACAGTAATTACTTTTATGTGTATCTTCTATATAATCAAATATCAGTTGTTTCTTCTTGTAACATTGTCCAATGTGTGTGATTTGCGAACCAGAATTCAACAAATACTTTCTGCAATTCACAACATTTTCGCATGAAATATCATCAAATTTTTGATAATTATAATTGACGGAGAAGGAGGTAAAAAAGTCTGTCTAGCCTGCATAATTCTTCTAATTTTCCTAAAGCCCATAATTTGAGGTAATAATCGAAAATTATCACAATTTAGTGAAATTTCCCTGGGGAGCTTTTTCCTGATGTGGACCGTAACGAATAAACCGTAACCCATAGTATCACGCTCCATCCTGATAGACCTTGCTCCGCAAGGTAACGATTATTTCACTCAGTTCTATTTCAATCATGGTCATTCAACCTCGTAATGAGTTGTATTGGAGGGAGAATGATACCTATGTTAAGAATTTTGTGCCTAAGTAGCTAGAAATACGAGTTGTGTGAAAGTGGGGGCTACCGATTACAGTGGAAGGGATATTAGTATATGAAGATTGTTGCAATATTCCAAAAGTAGCATGCATATGCATTTGACCTTCACACTCACGTCTCAATCAATCATCTTGTTTTAACCTCGGAAAGACTTGGCAGGCAGTGACTGTGACAGAGCATATAATTGCAGGTTATCTCCCGGAGAGCCGATACGGAGAAACATCATGGAATGCACTTACTTCTGTCGCGGTACTTGCTGCAGAAATCGCCGAAGTTGAAAATTCCTGGTGGGCGCATGTTGAAAACATATGGTTCTGTCAGCTGCTGCTCGTTGCATCTTTAGATTGTTCATTCACTTGAATTTTATCAGAAACGGAGGGCCATTTTGGAGGATCTTGACGCATAGGGAGGAGCTGCCGGTGAGTCGTGACCGCCTGGTAGCCCAAGATATCATGTGAAAATGGTGCCGCGTGAGTGGCGTTAGCCATGCATGATAAGCATCGGGTTAAAGAACTGCGAGTCCGAGAGCTTGGACGATGATAGCGCCCTCTTACCATTTGAACTTGTCATGGGCCTGCTTAATAGGATCGTCCAAAGCTTCGAAGTCACTCATGACTCCAACCTCACCATTACCGAGCAGCTCGTTGCCGTGAGTATCCACAATGGATACGATCCCCCCATGTACTGACGGCAATTTGCTCTATGATAGAACTATGATTTGCTGCCTGTTGAGCCGGAGAAACGCACATGGCGTGCGTACAACTACATTGCCTTCTGGACAGCGGACACGTTCAACATAAACATGTGGATGATCGTATCGTACGCTCACCACCATCATTATAATTTTGGTCGGTATTAAAATCTTCAAGTTCCATGATCCAACTAGGGATGTCGTGGTGGCAAGCCTGGATATGCACCTGGCTGGGTTATGGCGTTATCGCGCCTTTCCTTGTCCTGAATGCACGTCCTGGTGCTATTTTCCATGTTATGTTTCCAATCGTGAATCGCACGAGCTTCGGGATGTTTGGGAGTCTGTGGTGTGTCTTTAATCGCGCCGCTATGGCATGGTGCGCCTTCCTGGCTTCGCAATGATGCACGAGCTAAGTAACATAGCATATGGTATGGCGTCCAGGCAAGCATCGGAGGTTCCTGTGTGCTCGTAATGCTCAGAGCAATGTGGCCTAGCATATATGACCTGCGTGCGTTTATCATTTTCTGTGGTAATCATACTCAACTGAAGCTGGCCAATAGCAAATTCGATGCCCGCGTCCTCTGGAACGGACACTCGAGATTTCCTATGCTTCTTCCTATTCTGGCTCATTTCGCTGCCAATCATTTGGTTCCCTGTGCACAAGGTGTAAGTACATTCACATCTTCCAATGGTCATAAAGTGACCTTCCTCAGCCGGCACTTCTTCCTTGTGACACCCATCCTGATGCCCATAGCCTCAATCACGTTTCTCGTATGGTGCATTGTCAAAGCTCACGGGATCGGTCCGATCATGCATCAACCTTCTACACTGCACGGATCAAAGCTAGGCTGGGCTATGGTGGTCAGTTCGATGTCATGCATCAGTAACAAGGTAACCCTGGTCACCAATGCACCGGATTTTGCCTCCCGCGCTCGCACCTCATCCGCCGCGCTATACCCACAACTGTTTGCGATTCCTCTAAGTGCGGCATTTGTAAGTTTGATCGGAATCCTTGTGAGCTCGTCGTCGCAGGCAATTTACGGGACAGCCATTTGGTCACCCATCGAACTGTTGGGAAATTTCTTGAACGACAATCCGTCGAAAGCAACGAGATTCGGGGTGTGTGATTGTGATACCCGAGGAGCTTGGTCTACGTCTGACACGCTTTCGCGTCTTCGTCCTTGCAGGTATGGTTTATCTCAGCATCATTCATGCTCGCACAGGTGACGTCGCGTATTTTCTTTTCTATTGCGAATTTAATGCTTCTTCTCCTCCTAGATGGGGTGTGTCAAATAATATACCCAGACTTCAGAACGGGCTCCGAGCTGACATTTGTTATCAAGCACGAACATCTGCGCGAATTCAGTGTCGGCGGGATGCGATTTGACCGCACTGTTCCCTCGCTTTATTGTATGCATATCCGGTGTATACTCAGAACTAACATACTCAAGAACCAACCGCAGAACATCCGACGTGGCGGGTATATCGCTGCTACCGTTGGTCTCGCCATGTGTCCATGGAACCTTCTGAAAAATAGTAATGAGTTCACTTCTTACCTCTCCGCGTATTCAGTGTTCCTGAGCTCCATTGCTGGGGTGATGGTATGTAGGCGCTTCTGTAATTGTTCTTTTCACTATTGTGAACGGGTTGCTGTAGGTGACGGAATACTACATCGTCCGCAAGGGTCATTATAACGTGAAGGACCTCTATAACGCCGAAAGGGGCAGCTGGTACTGGTACACGTATGGGATCAACTTCCGGTGAGAGTTTTGATTGCCTTGAAGCGTTCAACCCTGACAAGTGTTGTTAAGGGCATACACCGCATATATTTCCGGGATCCTTATTAACGCTGTCGGTTTCGCTGGAGCCAGTGAGTTTTCACCACGGTCGCGATGCATCGATCCTGAGATGTTATGTCCCAGCTGGGTGCGTGGTCCCTCTAGCGGCTACTCGAATATATGAGTTGTCGTTCTTTACGGGCTTTGGAGTTTCTGCAATTGTCTATTGGGCGTTGAATCGCGTCTTCCCGGTAATCGGTGCCGCTGACACGTTCGAGGAAATCGACGTATCTGGATATGAACGTACGGCACGCAGTTTACGGGATGTTGAGGAAGTAGACGACGAGACGAAGGACGGGGGATCAGATCATTCTGCGAGCAAAAGATAAGGAGCTTGCCAAACCTCTGTACAAATACCATAAATAGCAACAAGATAACATGATGTCATAGTTCAGGTGTACAGGGGTTGCGACTTACCATCATCATCTACGCACCGTAAATTCGAACAGAATGTCATCTGGAGGCACACAATCACCACCTCTTGAATATACAGGCTCGCATATCCCTATGGGGGTTTCTTCCATCGATGGGAGTGTCTCGGAGCCGACGTTGGATGCGGAGCAACGAAAGAGTGCGTATCATCCAACACGACTGTTGTGTCCCTGTTCAATTTTGAACATTTTAGCCTACTTTGCTGAGCCGGAGTTGGTGAGTTTATTGCCGAGAGCAGCGGGGATGCACGTAATCAGTTGACTCTCCCACCAGAAAGAACGTGGAGGAACTAAGGAGACAGGGAAAGAGCAAAGAAAGGAATCTGCGAAGGAGAAACAGTGATCACTAACATCAATCAAGGGAACGCGAATAGTTCATGAATCAATAGCTGAATTCGGAGAAGAAAAAGTGCAGGGCTCTTCTGATAGTGATACAATTTTAGGTATTTACTTTCCGCCATCGTGTAAATATTCCTCCCACCACGTTCTAAACCTTGTACATTCTAATGGAAGTAATTTCTCTGTCTCAGCAGTAGATAGGTGGCAATTGTAAGGGCGTGATGTGGCACCGGCACCAGTTGGAGGTGTTGAGACAGGCTTGATATGATTCATGTCATTGAGACCAAGGATGTCGGCAAAGATTTTGCACATCTGGTACTTTGTGAAGGACTCGTTCGCCGAATAGTGGAGAATTGGAGGTAAAGTATCGAAGCTGATATCTTTCAAACCTCGTATTTAGTGCGATGGTTTCCCAGCAGGGACGAATTTGTACACACCCGTCAAGCGGACTAAAAAGGATGCAATGTCCAATACGTTGGTAGGATACCTGATCCCATAGTCATCCATGTTAGACTCCTTTGATTGGTCCTGTACAACATCAACGAGGATGTTAACGGCTGAGTCTGCATTGTTAGGTGCAGGGCCATATCTAAGCGTGGGTGAGATCACAGTCAAAACGAAGCAGTGCGACGGGAGGTCACTTGCAATACTGGAACTCTCAAAACAACTGCCCTGGAACCCTGTTGCCGAGCTTGCAATACAGCAGTCTCGCCATCCCGTTTAGTCTGACCATAGATCTGAAGTGGGTTAGTAGGCAACTCTGGTGTATACCCGCCAGGAGGAGGCGATCTTCCGTCAAAAACGTAGTCTATTCATTATTGAATCACAATGAATTCATGACAGCTAAGTGCGATGCTCACCAGTAGAGATATACACGAGTGTAAAGTTAATGGCCTTCGCGAGTTCAGCAAGGTACCCCGGAACTTCGACATTCAACTAGACAGGTGCTGTCAGATGGCACTGCTAATAATTAAGTCATCTCCTGACGAACAAGTTGGGTTCCGACTTGATCCTGAGGTCATAACGGATCAACATAACATCGATGTCGGTGTGAATATTCATACCTTCTCGGCAACATCAGGTCGCCTTTCAGCGGCGCAATGGATCACCCCTTGCCAATCACAGTGAAGACCTGCGCGGAACCACCTCGAAATCGCTCTCACAGGTAGGTTTAATTTCTTCCAACTTCTGCTTGGTCGCTTCTTTATCTGTCAAATCTAGTTGCACTAGATGGCTAGCGGTGCTTTTATTCTTCAAGCCCACAACCTCATATCGCAATGCTTTCTCGAATGCCTTATGAACCGCAGTGCCGAGAACACCAGATGCCCCTGATCGTTCTTCAGTATAAGGCTTCTCAGATGAAAGGAAGACGTGTCTACCTGTAACCACAATCTTCGAGCCTGACATGAAAGAGATATTTAGCGTAGCAACGTTGACAGGAATTGTAAATTGACAAACCCCGCCAGGCCAAGCTTAATACATAGTTCCCTTGAGCTTCGCTCGTGAGAAATTATTTACCAGCCTGGGTGTGCCGGCGTTGCCGCATCATTGCATGTGCCTACAGCCACCTTATTGGGCGCTTTTTTATATTATAGTTCTCAGGAACGTCCTGTTGTCTTGAGCCCACCAGATTGATCATTTCTGAGAACCGTTCGCTGCGGTGCTCGGGAAGCCTCAGTGATATTCGACCGTAAACTTGATGCCAGGAACCTCAGGCTAGCTCAGGCTAGCTCACGAGGCATCACTATTGCCAGATACAACATCATGGGGGCCCTTCACGACGACTACTAGGTACCCTTGTCGACAACGTGGGTCGTGGTGTACTATTCAAAGTCACGGTGTGTCTGTCCATGATTTTGGCCAAATCAGCAGATCTTAAGTGTGAAATTCCAGTTATTTTCTTCTCATGGCTACGGGGGAAAGGTTAAATCATTTTCAATATTAGAACTTGGCTGTTTCCATACAAATAGGTCCCACTCACATTCCTTCTCTGTTAAACGTTGGACGGCAGGGTTTGAGGGTCAATATTATATTAGGAACGAGGCTCACCGTACCTTCTAGAGGTTCACGGCGACTCTCCTATTCTGAAATTCATCCCTCAGGATGACGTTGGCGCTCCGAGTCGAGCCTCGCCCAAGCCTCGACCCCAGTGCATTGCCACCACCATCGAGCTTCGTGCAGGCTGCGGTGCTCGACAGTTGTCTTGAGACTTCGCATTCACATGTATCCACCTTCCAGTGAGTATCACAAGTACAGTGGTATGCACCAGGCGATCGGTCATTGACTAGTATGCACAGCTCGTTACTTCTGGATATGCAACTATATAGCTCCTCTATTAAAACGGTCAAACAGGTCGGACTTGATGGAATAATCCCTTGCCCAGTCTTCGGAGATCACGACAAGGTGGAAGGCAAGGTTATTATAGGTCCGAACTGTTCACAAAACGGTCGACTGAACATATCTGTAAGTCTAACTTATACCATGAGTTATACACGTGAACTCAACTATTACTATTGTAGATTGAAGGCGTGTTTGAGTATGTCTCTGTAAAGGAGGATCTAGACGACGAATCTGCCCAGGGACCTAAAGCTTCGAAATGCAAGCACATATTCTTATCGTCCTCTACTGTCATTGCTATTTCACCTTTCTCTGACCCGTTTACTGTTGTTTCCGACGTGTTTTGGGTGCTGAAATTTCCCAATCACTCGAATTTGAATGGCCCTGGGCCTAGATTCTGCGAATTCAGCTTCGAAATTCCTCGCGGCAGTCGACCAGGTGAAGAGATGCCTCCCACCTTCTGTGCTTCGATGCCTTCCGACAACAGGCGAGGAGACCTATCTATTGTGGAGAAGGCTGAGGTGTCATATCACATTACTGCAGTGTGGGAGCCCTCAGATATGTCGGAGACCAGTGGGATGTGCGTTCCAATGTCAGGCACCACTAGATTTCAGATGCTCACCTCATAGGTTACAGGCTGGAAGTTCCAATTCTGTTTCATCCAAACACAGACTTTCAGTCTATGGACGGTTCCGATATCGCGTCTGAATTATGGCTCGAAACTCCTCTTACACCAGAGCGATCTGTTCCATTCCATTGCGCGGTAGGTCGAAGGAGTGGCACACATGTGTATCATCTTACGAACAGAATTTGTAGGTCACTCTGCCACGCTCGCAAACATTTTCTCGATGTACCTCTGTCCCATATTTTGTGGTATTTACAACGAAACCTCAATGCGCCGTACTTGCCCGAGAAATCGCCGCCGATGCCACCATTGCTGTTTCCCTAGTCCGTAAAGTTACCATAAAGCCCCAGCTACCTCCTATTCCCCCCGATACCACACAACTCAGTGATGATTCAGACAATCCATCTGGCCCTTTTCCGACATCGCGAACCAAACTACTAAAGCGTGCAGCAAAGATGGTTGCAACTGCAGTGGTTCGCGTACCAAAGAGCCGTGAAGAGCCTTTCTCAGCTGCCGTCCGGTACAAACCACTCCCTGAATTGCCACAAGTTTCCTTCTCGGAAACTCACACTGTACAAACACAAGTGTCTGTTGGATTTCCAAAGCGTCCCCGTCATCCTAATGACCCTGGCGGTTCTGAATGCCAGGCGTATCTACCCGATGGCCTTTATAAGGGCAAATTTAGGTTGTCAAAGGATATGATACCAGGAGTCGATTGGCCTGGTGTTAGCGTCCAGGTGAGTTTCCTCCTATAACAGAAGATTCACATCTGAGGGATAGGTTCCAGTATTATTTGGACGTGACTGTTCTCTTTCAGCAGGACGCGCTAAGGGCTTGCGTTCCTATTCGAGTTTTCTAAGGCATCCAACTAGCAACCCACTCATTATCTAGCACTCTGTTCATTCAAAAGTACTGTCTTTTTTCCTTGTCTGAACATGGTTATTTGTTACTTTATGACATTATTGTTATCATTACCGCGCACATATCTTCACTGTACAAATTGTGTTTAATTAGTACCATGCATACTAATCTTTGGTACAAGTCCATCCCGGCCTTGAGCTTGATGACCTTGAGCTTGATGACCTTGCAGGTGACATATTGTGTGACCCAGTGCACACATTAGACAATTTGAATTGTGAGCCTGAGGTCGAGCGTCTGGACACAAACAGCTCCTATTTTAGGCTACGTGGTAACGGCATCGGAATTTTGATCAAGTTGCATGTTTTACACTAGTCTCTCCTACTACCCAGACCTGTAGAAAAAGTCGTTCCGTTCTACATTCAACGCACGAACTGTACCCGTGACGACAATTGATATCACAACCACGAATAGTGCATCACATGATCAAGACGTGCTAGAGAAATTTACCGGTAACTCGTCCACGGCAATTTGTAGCATTCTTTCTAACGTCGCGCCATGTAGATTAACAGGTTCACTTGCGAGTATACACTGTACCTTCGCCATGTCACGAACAGGTTACGAACGCCTGCCTATGCATACCGTGCCAGAACCAGGTCCACCACGTTCCCGTTCCCGTTCTCGCTCCCGTTCGCGCTCTCAACCACTCCGTATCCCTACAGCGGTCCGCTCATTCGATTTCACCAAGCTCTTGAAAATCACTCTTGTGCTTGCCGTGGCAGTTATATTATACACATTTTACTTCTATGAGCCGCACATCGAAATCACCTTCTACTCGCGCAAGTGGATAAACAGCGAAATCGAGCCCGTAGGACAGCTGGCTGGATGTTTTGATGAGGGAAGAATTAGTGCAGAATATAACGCTTCTAGGTACTTGAAAGGACCGAAGGAAGTAGAGGTGCATGCTGGGATGGGCATGAGACTTGGGATGGACTGTTATGAGTTTGCTGCGACAATTCCGCGATCGACTAGTGCCATAGTGGACGGGCCTCGCTTACCTCCTGATGAAAGGACGCAGTACCATACGTACTGGCGCGTAGACCTCGCGCCTTTTTCAGAGCGGCAGGAGTGGATGCTCAAATCCTTTTTTGCGACTCAGGATCATGCAGCCTCGAGACTCGTAATGTGGTCGAATGGGGACTTGTCGACGAACCCTATACTTGCATCATATGCCCACATGCACCCGAATTCGTTCGAGATGCGGGTGGTGGATATCCCAGATCTGGCGAGTGGAACTGCGTTGGACGGGAGTCCATTGCTGAAGACAAATGACAAGAAAGCATGGACGGATGGCGATCTTGTCAGATTGTTAGTCATATGGAATTATGGGGGTGTATGGATTGACATGGATTCACTATTGACTCGAGACCTTTCTCCTCTACTCGAGCACGAGTTCGTCACGCAGTGGGATTGCTACGGTAAGCCCTTGTCACGAAAGTCCATGAGCATCAGACTCAAGTTTGTCTCGCAGACAAGATTTATCAGCCTCTAAACGGCGCCCTGATGCATTTCCACAAACACTCTCCATATCTTTGTGAGGCATTCAATGTCATGGCGACTTCAGCAGCTCCTCGTGCCGATTCTACAGACTGGGGCGCACTCCTTTACCTCAAGCTCTGGCGCCGTCTCCTGGGTGCCCACATTCCGCCTTTCAAAATCCTTCCATTTTGTTTTTCAGATGCCCGATCCTGCAGGTTGGATAACAGGTTACCTGATCCATTTGACGGGGATGATGGCAGTGAGGCACGGTGGTGGCGTGCTACGAAGGACGGGCTGCAGGAAGGTGGAGACCTAGATGATGCGCTTGGGAATGTGTTTGCTGTGCATCTCCATAATCAATGGGACAAGACATTTCCAAAAGGGGGCTGGGTGGAGAGGTTACTTCTCAACAGGTACCAGGAGAAACTTGCGGAGAGGGAGGATTTATCGACAGCAAGTTATATTACTTGACACTGCACTAACATATCTGCAAATAGTTTGCATCAGCTTTTCGTTGATATACCATATGTTTGTTCGTAACATCAGTCTTGAGCGATTCTTTCAGAACTCCATGGCCATCGTCCCAACAAAATCATAAACTTGGATGGGGGCTCGCTTGAGTATATTCTCGGTGAAGGTGTTTTGTCGCCAGCACGACTTTGTAAGACGACAGCGGGAACACAACCTTTGTTGACATTATCAACTTGCTATCCCAAGGGCTCGAAAAATTCCAGAGAGTTGTCAGATCGTAAGAGTGAGTGAGTCATGTTTTGATTTCACTGCCGTTTGAGTAATGGGAAGCCTTTAACAAGAGGAATATCTCATACTCAATATGATGTTGACTTGAAAACGCAACATGTGAGTGAGCGAAGTCGTGTCTAGCCAGCTTGATGCCTCTAGGACTCTGAGTCGATGGTAAACGGTCGTAAAGAAAATCGACCGATCATAATATTTCCTTGGGTCCATGTTTAAACCCATTTTTGTGCCAGCGACTAGAAAGCAACATCAATATTTTAGCTCAAAATTGACCGTAATCACACGCAGACGTGAGGCTGGGGTGCAGACATACGTTCCTGGCTATATCTTTCCATCAAACCCTTGCAAATGTGCAAGTGTATCACAAAACACAAGAGGGTGACCGGCTAGATGTAAATGCTTAGCATGAATATGCTCCAACAAGAGGGCGAGAATACATTAGTACGAACTTACATGCCGTATCAGTTTGTCAATCGAAGAGTAGCCTATCTTCTAGATAATGAGAAGACATTGATATTCCAAGAGGAAAGCATCTTGCAAATACATCCCCACATAATGTGAAAACCATCAAGGGGTCACGGGATTCCGTCGGCGAGCGTGCGATGTTTAGTACCTACAAATTGGTGAACGCCGTCTTTTCCCATGATGAAAGACATGTCTGGATCCAGACAGATATAAGCGTCAACATGTCAGCCTGGGTATAAGCAATGTGGTGTGCCTATGTGCCGCTGGCATTCACAACACATGTGCGTAATTAACTGATCTTGTGCTGTGAAATTCTCCACATCATCAAAAAACCGACCATAGTCGTCAAAACACCACACTAACCTGTATCCAATCACTTTATGGAGACATGAACGCCTGTTCCTGCGCAAGTACTGCTTGGTCGGCCATTGTTGTACATTTTTAAGCTACCTGCACAAAAGTTTCCGGAGTTGTTAAATCGCCAGAGAGGGAATGTTTCTGCGTTCGTATCGGAGTTGATTCGATTCCTAGAAACTTGCTAATTCGGTCAGTATAATCGTTGTTGGGTCAATTTCGCTGCCGCTTAAGCAATGGGAAGCCCTGAATAAAGTGGAGGAATATCTCATACGCTCAATGTGGCATCGACTCGAAAGCGCAACATACGAGTGAGCCAAGTCATGTCCAGCCAGCTTGATGCCTCGTTAATGGTAAACGACCGTAGAGAAGAAAATTGACATATCTGATGGTCGACCGATCATAATGCTAGGGTGGGTTGAGGGTGGGTCCAGGTTTATCACCGTTTAAAGCTACTTTCATGCCAGCAACTAGAAAGCAACATTTTAGCTTCAACAATTGTCCGTAGTCACACGCAAGCGTGCAGACATACGTTTCTGGGTGTGTCTTTCCAAAGGCGCAAGGGTATCACAAAATACCCTAACTGGGGTAGATAAGCTAGAGGTAAATGCTTAGTATGACTGTGCCCTCGATAAGACTGCGAGAACAAATCAGTGCGGACTCTCACAGGCCGTATCAGTTTCTTGGTCAAAGAGCGGATGGGATTCCTGAGAGGTGATAAAGAAAGTTTATCTTCTCGATAATGAGACGAGCTTGAAACGCACATTGAAGATCATCAAAGTTTAAAGAGTCACTGCCAGTAACCTGATAGATTAATTACCGCGCACATCGTGGCGTCGTTCACAACTGCTGCCGAGAAAGCTTCAACCTTGACCTCATTCATTTCCGTCATTCTCAGGAGAGCGTCTCTTTCTCTGTCAGTCGTTCAGATTTCATATCCCAAGAGGAAAGAAGGCACTCAAATATATCCCTGCATATGGTGAAAACCATCAAGGGGCCAGGGGTAACATTCTTACGTAGTGCCACAGAATCCTGCCAGCACCTGTGCAATGTCTACACTGCAAGTTGGTGAATGACATCTTTTCCGATGAAGTTGGACATGACTGGATCCAGGCAGACATAAGTGTTAGCCCTACTCAACTCAACCCGGGTATAAGCAATGTGATATACCTATGTGTGCCGCTCGCATTCACAACACGTGTGCTTAATCTGGTCGGCAAGAGAAGATTTCGTGCTGTGGGGTTCTCTATGAGTCTATGTCATCAAACAGCCAGCTATGATTGTAAAAACACCACACTAACCTGTATCCAATCGCTTTATGGAGCCATGCATGCATGAACGCCTGCTCCTGTGCGGGCACTGCTTGGTCTAGCCCTGATTGTACATTTTTGAGCTACCTGCATAAAAGTCAAGGGACCACGTCCTATTTGCTCAGCAGTGCTCAAAATTTAGAGTTCTCCATTCGCATCGCATGAGAGCCATTTGAATCCACCGAGGGTCCGAACAATGGCAGAAAGTTAGCGCTATGGTGTAGCACTCCCTCGGCGAATGGGCCTATTTTGATGCCCATACTCTGACAGTGATTTTTCCGTGTTCAGTTTAGACACTCTATGCAAAGTGGGGAAATGATAGAACACGGTTGTAGATTCACTGATACGTCTACAACGGAGGCATCTTGCGCACAACCTTTCCCTCATTCCTCGCATGTATCCTGAGCTTCTCCAGCACGGGTGACTTTACCCACCGCTCAGGAGGTGTGCGACCTTCAGTCGCCCAATAGTATATGTCCCAGTCCGGTTCGTCAAGTAGCTACAATGAAACCTAAGTTCTGGACGCCACCAATCAAAGAAGCGAAAGCACCTTGTCATACTCCTTCAATTCCGTCTCATCCATTTGCCTCAGATGATCCCTTGCGAACGTACTCAGCAGAAGGTCGCTCTCCAAAGTTCCGCGCTTCCTGCTCTGATAGACGAGTCTTGCACGCAACGTCTCCTTGGACTCCCCTGCGCGTGGAAGGGGAGTAGGCGGTGGGATATCAGAAGGTGTTTGAGTGTTGGAGAGGTGTTGTGGGGTATGCGGAAGGGGCCATGGGTCTGCAGACCACCGCGATGTCGTAGAGAGAGTGCGACATGGATGGCGTATTGCCTCAAGAGTCAATATTCGCGAAGAGAGAAATACAGTAGACATTTTGAGGAGCTTGGCTAGCGAAATCACGTAGTGGATTAGTAGTACAAGCGAAATTAGCGAATGTAAACATAAGCAGTGCGCGCCAAACTAAGCGTTCATCAACGCATGCGGTATCGTTCACACTGGTACCATGCCACGGCCCCATCTATCCGACTCATGACATCTAATGGTAGAGCAGGATATGAAATGGTTCCCGTGCACGACCAAGCACGCCGTATCTCTTCTCCACGGCGCAAATCACCAATTTCTTACTTTTCGTGTTTGCGACCACGGAGAGTATTCACGTTATTGAAATTTGCACTTCCATTGGTTTTTATCATATGTTACACGGTATACTACCTCTACGACCCACGCGGCCACATCGACCTCGTATTGTATCAACGAGAATGGATACAACGCGAAATACTCCCGCTGTCCCCGCTTGGAGGATGCTTTGAGCCCGAGCGCGTCAGCCCGCTGTATAATATCAGCGAGGCTGTGTACGGCAAGAAACGCTTTGAGGTTCAGGCAGGAGTAACGATGCGGATGGGTATGGACTGCTATGAGTTTGCAGGAACAGTAAGGTTTGCAGAAGGGGAGTGGACCGAGGAGCAACGGTATATCCCACCCGAGGAACGAGCACAGTTCCACACATATTGGCGCGTCGATCTCGCGCCTCTCGATGAGAGACAAGAGTACATGCTAAAGTCATTCTTCGCTACGCAAGACCTTCCCCGCTCTCGTCTAATACTCTGGTCAAACGGCGACCTATCACTCAATCCAATTGTGCAAAAGTATCTCGAGCTGTTCCCTGACTCATTCGCACTTCAAGTTGTGGATATACCCGAATTAGCTAAGGGAACGGCAATGGAGAACCACCACCTCCTTAATCTTGAGGACAAGAAGGCATGGGTGGACGGCGACCTTGTCCGGTTACTTGTCATTTGGACATATGGTGGTGCTTGGATAGACATGGACATGCTTCTGACCCGCGACCTCTCTCCATTGCTTGAGCATGAGTTCGTAACGCAATGGGATTGCTACGGTAAATGGACAATCAACCCGCTTTGGCCCACGTACTCACAAGATTCTATAGACAAAATTTATCAAGCATTCAATGGTGCTCTCATGCACTTCCGCAAGCACTCGCCTTATCTCTGTGAAGCTTTCCATCTCATGGCACACAGTACTCCTCCACGTTCTCCAAGCACCGATTGGGGCGCAATTTTATATCTTCGGCTTTGGCGGCGCCTCCTCAGCGAATCCATACCCCCCTTCAAAATTCTACCGTTCTGCCTTTCTGATCCTCTTGCTTGTCGTCTCGACAACAGTGTACCAGATCCTTTTGACCCTGATCGTCGAGATGGGAAGTGGACGGGCCGACCTGGGGAGGGGCTTGAGGAGGGCGGAGCGCTGGACAAAGCACTAGGGAAGATATTTACTGTGCATTTGCATAATCGTTGGGATAGAGCGTTTCCCCAAGGCGGTTGGGTGGATCGGCTGTTGTTGAGGAGGTACGAGGAGGGTATAGAAAAGAAAATGAGAATAGCTAGCGAGCTATGATGTATTGATCTGCTGTGAGTACTTGTATCCTGGGCGACAGCGGCAGACGCTAATGATATCTACTATGAATGTGAACTATAGCACTTGCACGATTCAGACTTCTAATGATGCATTGTTTATACGCGTGCTATATATATTTATTGCAGGATTGGTGTGTGTGGATGATCTCGCTAATCAAAAGTATTGCATGCATGTGAGCCTCATAGTGAAATCGTTGCTCTACTACGTATGGCTACGCTTGAAATTATTAGTACGTGACGTGCTCACTGGGATCATCCCACATTGCTCATGACTCATCTACAGATTCGCTAGTAACTTGGCGAACTTCCCAATTTCAATATAAATACATAGCAATACCTTGGAAGCATCTAAGTTGTGCCTCCGCCCACAATGACTATTTCAACTCGCATTCAACTCCAAAATCCTTCCCTCTCCTTCTCATTCGAACAATGTATTATGCACTGACCTAATTACTATTGAATCAGGCCTGGAGCCTGAACATCCATAGCGCATATCGGACTGCATCCCGAGTTATGTGGACTCGAAACCGCACTCACTCATCATATGCCCCCATCATGATCAAGCTGCGACGCCTTTTGTATTGGATCGATAGAATGGGCGAGGACTGCAAGGGGAACCAAGGCCAAACCTCTATAGCGGGAGGCTATGGCTCTATCTATCCAAGACTGACTAGCACATTGCGCGGGACTACCGACTACGAGCCAGGACTCCTGACACTCCCAAGGACCTGCGCCAGATCCTACTACACCACCGACTACGAACCAGAACTCCTGCCACATATGCCGAGGCTGGCGCTCTCAAGGACCTGCGCCAGGCCTCCCCACTACATCGGTATCCATGATTATGTACTGAATGCATAATGAACTGAATAGCGAATTGCTTGGAAGCAAAGCCCAAGCCAAAAGCAGACGCGTCGAGCAGAGTGTCACGAGGCAACCACGGATTAGCACCTGCTGCAAGGTCTGTTAGCTAGGGTAAGAAGGACGCTAGACGGCGGGGATGGCAGCGGTTTCGAACTGCGGAAGTTCTTGTCAAGGGGCTACCGCTGCCCCAACCGCGCCAACCATCTCGTTCTGTTGAGGAATGATACTGCTGAGCCCATATACCTAGTGGGAGTACAAGTTCCGATGCATGTGTTCGATCGCTGATCAGCTGCAAACGGCAACTATGACCTATCGGGAGGGGATGCGAAGCTTCAGATCCCAGATCCAGTAGTCTTCAGGACATCCGGACCATAAAACCCACTCTCCAAGGAAACCCTTATCGGAAGTTTCCGCGGGACTTTTGGTCTCTCCGTGCAAAGACGATGCTGGACTACTGTGCTATAAAGGGCTTGTACCAGTTATCATACTCAGACTATACCCTTGACGACAACAGATGGCTGTTCTTGACATCAACAAAGCTCGTGCTTGCTTTCCGTCCCTGAGATCAGGCCACATTTATGCCGATAACGCAGGGGGGTCACGGACTACTCAGGCAGTGATCGATCGGATCGTGGATTATCTGTCCAACACCAACGCTCAGCTGGAAGGTGGCTATGCGGCCGTGAACTCTCAGCGTGTTTCTGAGGGCTCTATCGCTGCTGTAGAGTTGTTCAATGCCACATCTCTCAATGAGGTTGGGTTTGGATCGAGTGCGACAATGTTACTTGAAAATATCGCTAGAGCACTTGAAAATGATATTCAACCTGGAGATGAATTCATCATCACCTATGAACATGAAGGTGTCTGCCGAGGTCTTCCTGTGTCTTTTGTTGTGAAAACTCACTGTTCATCTTAGCCAACAACGGTCCTTGGAAGCGTCTGGCTGCGCGGCGCAATGTCGTGGTCAAATACTGGCATCCCATACCAGTATCTGCAGAAAATCCTTATTCGGTCACATATAGGGTCGAAGAACTTTTGCCGCTGGTTTCATCGCGCACCAGGCTGGCCGCGATCACCGCGTGCTCCAATATTTTAGGATCTGTGATTCCTGTGGAAGAGACAGTGAAAGCTCTTCGTCAGCGTGCAAAAGAACAAGGAGCAATGAAGATCGAGGTGGCTTTGGACTGCGTTGCATACGCATCGCATAAAAGAATGGACGTACAAAAGTGGGATGTCGATTACTGCGTAATTTCTGTATACAAGGTTTCAGTATCCGCGACTTCGATTTGATGTCTGACACTGACACTATTTGTAGGTGTTCGGGGCTCACAATGCCGTTGCTTATGTGCGGCCAGCAGCTCTGCAGACATCTTTCACGTCCATTGCCCACGATTTTCTAGAGGTGGATGACAAGCCCCGTAAGTTTCAACCGGACGGTCCAGGCCAAGAGCTCGTGTATGGTGCATCGGCAATCGTGCCATATCTGAAGTCGTTGACTCCAGAAGATGATCTTACAGCATCTTTCAACGCGATCGCAAAACACGAGCAGGAACTTTTGACGCCCTTGCTCCGCTTTCTGACAGACGCAAAACAAGTTGACAGGGGCGTTCGCATCATCGGGGAAAGCGAGATCAATTTCTCAAGGACTTCCAATGTCTCCTTTGTTGTCGTCGGACAGAACGCGATCAAGAGTAAGAATATCGTGGAAGCATTCAACAAAAAGGGAGGGGTAAGTCTTTCAAATGATCTCACTCAGTGATTGTATTCTATTATGGGTGTTGCGCAGATTTCAATTCAATGCGGCTACTTCGGTGCGTATTATCTTATTGATAATCTACGCCCAAAGTTGGACATGAATGACGGAGTCGTCCGCATTTCACTTGTCCACTATAACACCGTTGAGGAAGTGGAGAAGATCGTGGATGTACTGCGGGAAGTTCTGGCTTAGTGCGCAATAAGGTACAGGCGAACATGTATATATGTGACATTTGAATGTATTTTCCCAACACTGCATAGTCGAAGATTGTTATCTATACCTGCTGAATAAACTGTACAAGTTGGGATTTCCTGATGTTTTCTCGCGGCTAAGTAGTGGAATGAAATTTTACCACTCCCTAATGCTTCCATCCTCTCCCCTCCATATCGGGTTACGCCACGCCTCAACACCAGCTCGACTATGTTCCTTGGCACGGGTACGCACAAGCTCCTCGTTGATAACGATGCCCAAACCAGGTCCTATGCAAATGTCATGTCAGGCGTTTAGCGGAGAGCATTAAGATTGGATTGTTGGAGACACAACGCGTGCGGTATGGGTAACCCTTCGCGCAGATCTCTCCAGAAATAGAATGGACCAAACAGGGCCCGGGCAAGACTAGTACTCACCGCTGGGAGTTGTGATATACCCATCCTTCACAGCAAACACACTCGGATCTGCGAGATACGTGAAGAGGTCTGCATCATCACTGTTGTAATGCATCTACATCCAGCCAGTCTTCTAAGTGCTACGTGTCGAGGGATATTGGAGCGAGAAACCCACCTGCCAGCTCATTTCTTGAATAAAATCTAGACGCCCGGAACCATAATGAGTGCTTGTTCTATAAGGGGTAGACCACACGCCAAAGACCCACAATTGAGCTTCGATACGCCTACA